TGCATCTTTTTTCTATTATTTCTATTTGCATTTTGCCTTGTAATCAAAATTAGAAAATAACATGCTATATGTCAATAATGTATACTGTAGAGCAAATGAACCCAACCCAACCCTCTTTGTTGCTAGAATGTCCAGTTTAGTTGACCACAGGAATACATCTTACCTTGATTTCCTGATACTCTAGTAGAAAAAAATAGGGCTATGCTATAATTAAGTGGATACTGTATAGAGCTGGTTGACAACTGTAGTCAACAAGTATCCATCAATGGCTCCGTCAAATTGATGATTAATGGTTGAATGGAGTACCTCCTTGCTAATTCTATGCTGTTTCAAAATATTATAAATAATCTGGCTGAAAAATAGTTATTAATAGCTCATGGCTACTGCTGATAAACAGGTGGCAGCTCCGCTTAGGGAAATTTTGCTCAGTTCCAGCTGATGCATGCTATGGTCCTTTCTAGATCTGGAAGGTGGACCAAAGTAACTCACAACCTTATGATCTCTAGGTATGACTACTGCAATGCATTTCACTAAACTCTTACCTTTCAAAAAATAGTTGGGAGCCCCACTTGATGTAGAACAGCAGCCCATTTGCTGATAGAGGACATCCATTACAACCGCATTCACACCAATGTCAAGTACTGCCATGGCTACTAATTGGCTTCTTAGCACAATTCAGAGTGCTGGAATCAATCCATACAGCCCATCATGTCTCAGCACCCAGGTAATCCTGGGAGAACTAGCCTGTTTAATTCACTTCTCCCAAGGAAGATGTTGACAGACTTCCCTTAATGAGAGATTAGGGGACAGAAGATGTTTTTCTGTTATGCCTCCACCCCTGGAGAATAGTTCAGGGTACTCCAAACTTTGCAACTTTAAGACTTGTGGACTTCAACTCCTAGAATTCCCCAACCAACATGACTGGCTGAGGAATTCTGGGAGTTGAAGTCTGCAAGTCTTAAAGTGGCCAAGTTTGGAGACCCCTGGAATAGTTTTATCTCCAAAGCTCTGGACCACACCTTCCCAGATGACATTTGGGAAAGCAATGGAGATCCAGCTGCTTCAAAACTTTTACAAAGTGTAATTTTAACTATACCGCTGTCATCAGCAAATGAGTACCATGATGGGTGGATTATTCATGGATTTTTTTTACTATGCAGGTATTAATTTTCTGATGTTTTTACCTTGTAAACTGCTGGGAGGTTTTTTTGGGAGACCAGCATTATATATACTTTAGCAGCGTGGCCAAATGCAGATGATCCTCAACTTACAACCATTTGTTTAGTGACCATTTGAAGTTACAACAGCTCTGAAAAAAGTGGTGTGCAACTGGTCCTCGCACTTACAATTCTTGTAATGTCCACGCATCACATGATCAGGCACTTGGCAACTGGCATGTATGTATGATGGCTGCAGTATCCCAGGATCATGTTATCATTTGCAACCTTTCCCAGCCGGCTTCCAACAAGCCAGGTCAGCAGGGAAGCCAGAATCACTTAACGACCACATGATTCGCTTAACAATGGCAGTGATTCACTTAACTGTGGCAAAAAGTCATAAAATTGGATGCAACTTGCTTAACAACCTCCTTGATTACTGATGGCAATTCTGGTCCCAATTGTGGTTGTATGTTGAGGACTACCTGTATAGTGTAAACCCAGGAACTATGATTAGCAAATCACATCTTATGGCTTAGTGCAGGGGTAGGCAACCTTACTCTTTTATGACTCGTGGACTTCAATTCCCAGAATTCCTGAGCCAGCATGGCTCAGCTTGGAAACCTCTCCCTTTGCCCTCAGCAAGGCTGGCTCAGGAATTCTGGGAGTTAAAGTCCACGAGTCATAAAAGAGCCAAGGTTGCCTACCCCTGGCTTATTGTAACGTTTCTCAGCCTGAGCAACTTTGAACATGTGTGTATTTCAATTCCCAGAATCCCCTAGTCAGCAGTGTTTTATTGAATTCACCAATATTGGATATGTAGCCTCCCTTGGTGAACACAAGGAAGGTATGGATGGGACTGACTGAGTGTTTCTTCCAACTAGCTTTGCAACAATAGACCTAGAGATGTACAGTGTAACTAAGTTTTTAGTCCTAAAAAACTGAAGTACATTATGTGCTGAGTAACATATATATCGCCGAAGACACAAAAATCACATATATTTTTCTGAAATCTATTGAAGTGATACCCTTGTTATTAGTTATAGATTCTTACATCATCATCATTTCTATAAAGATAACTCTGGAATGTGCACATTATTATTTTTTTTTCATTTTTAATTTCCACACTAACAAAAAAAATCCGTTGTAACTTCAGTTGACAGATTAAAGATGAATCAAACATTTTTTTAAAAAATTATAAAATGGGAAGGTAGATTTCAAAAATTTTTTGTTAAAAAAAGTGTAGAAACTATTGCCTAAGTAAGGGAAGGGTCAATTGCATAGAAAATACAGACATGAATAAACTTGAACAGTGGAACAGCTTACCTGGGTACATGATAACGTTGGCTTTACAATCAGATGTGACTGGATTCCATCCTAAGAGGCACAGCTAACGCCAATGTTGGCCACTGTGTCTCAGGCCCACAGACCTCTTGCGGTAATGTCAAACCCCAGAAATATACACAATTCAAGAATTTAATTCCTGATTAAAAACATGACAGCTTGTTAGGATGTATGATTAAGCAGGCAAAGATACCAGGCTGAGGCCAGTTAAGAGAATAGTGTTCACACGGCTGACAGTTTCAAATACTGTTTCCTTCCTTCATTGCCTTCTGAACAAATAAAAGGTTTTCTGAAGTGAATCTGATGGCAAGAGCTTAAGTTGGCTGAGCAACCATCAAAACTACGTCTGGCTAATCTTGGAGCCTTGGAACAGGAACTTTTGGGCAAGACCTACTCTTCATCTCAGCAGTCTACTGATGTAGCGCAGGGGTCCTATGCTGAGATGAGAGGATATGGAGCAGGAGGGCATCCTGTCAAGAGTTCCTCAGGCCACATGGAGCTTGCCCATCCATGAAGACTATTGGCTAAGAAAGGTGGATGTCAGAGGCAATCCACCCAGCATTATTTGTTACAGCTACTTGCCTCATACTGGCTACTTGCCAATGTGCAAGGTGAATGTCCTTTTACCACTGGGTGGCGAAAGAATAGTTGAACGTGCTGGTGCAACGAGAAGGGTCCCCCATACATTTGGGGAAGGGAAGCCTGATGCAAAACAAGCATCTGAAGAAAAACAAAGCATCATCCATGTGAAGGTACAAATCCAGGGTGACACACGCAGAGATTTAGGCATAATTGAATCTCAACTGACAATAGCCAACTGGCAAAAACAAAAACAAAAAAAACCTCCAAAGCATTATTGCCTGCTAATCCCAAACTAATGCCATAAAACACAGCCATGCTATCTTAACTCTATAAGCCACACTTCCTCAAAGAGCCAGAGACCTTGAAAGAAAAAAAAAAAACCCCTCACAGCTTGAAATATCAAAGCACTACAAAAAATAATCCAAATATCTAGATAAACCCAATCCAACCCACCCCCAGGTCCAGTAAATTCACATTCCTGGACTCTTTTACTTCACAATTCCAAAATTATATTATGAAAATCCACAGCACCCCAAAATGCTTTAAAGAATTGCAACAGAAGCATCAGCGTTCACAAACCCATGTTATTATGTATTGTTCTGCTTCTGTCCCTTCTGAGAAAAATGGAACTTGCCCAATCTATCTAAGCCCAACCCTTAATGGCAATTCATTCCCTCCCTAACCCAACCCCCTGAGGTAACAAAATCCCTCCCCAATATAATTATTCAAGTACAATTAATTCATATTGACCCAATCCTGCCTCCATTGCATTCACTGCCCCCAAACTTTATGTCTCGTTTCATTTCTCCAGCCGCAACTTGTAACATCTGGCTGAACTAATGTGCTTGGATGAGGAGAAGGGTCATTAGCTGGCTAAATCTACAAAAGATGACTAAAGAGATCCCAGATGTTAGCCTAGCCTGATGCACTACCAAAATACAAACTGAGCACAACAGATGGAAGAATGTACAACTGTATCAGGAAGTCTGACAGGGATTACCTCACTTAGAATTAGCAAGAGGATGTAGAAAAAGCAGGTTTCTAGAACTGGACAATCGTACCCTTAAAAATCTGCCATTGGCTTGGCCATAACTATTTCTTTGCAACGAAGAATGATCTGAAAGAATTGCTTGACTTCTACTTGAGGGTTGCCACCTATCAATGTCTGTCAGATTTGGCAGTCCTAGCATTATCAAATGATAGCTGATGTTGGCTTTGTTCACAAAACATGATGAGAAGGAAGCCACAAGTGGCAGGGAGGGGGGCAGTTTAAACCCCATGTGCCAGCTTTTTTTTTTTTTTTTACTCAAATCTCTGATGGATAGGACCATCTGAATTCTCAATGGTTGTATCTCAGCTCTTTTACTTGGAAGCATCTGCGATTTGAAGGTACAGCACCAGGTGAAAAGAATCCTGGATGGCAACCTTATTGTGGGAGAAGAACATAGTGAGCTTTCAAACTGGCATGCATGCTCCCTCACTAGCAAAGATTACTTGTTCAGTGCATCACACAAACAGGGCTTGGACTAAGCTATGTGAAAGACACCAGCAGTCTAACCCAGAGGTGGGGAACTATGGCCCCTTTATGACTTGTGGACTTCAGCTCTCAGAACTCCTGGGCCAGCATGGCTGGGCCAGTAATTCTTGCCACTGAAGACCACAAGTCATAAAAGGGCCATAGTCCCCCATCCCTGGTAACCCAATGTAGAATAGCACAGTTACTAACTACGCCGTCTTCCATTCCTGGTAGCTAAAACAACAAAGATGTTGTGACAGCAACAGGGAAAACTGATGACCAAAAGTCACCTAATAAACAATAGAACTGGGATTGCTGATTTTTTTTGCCTCTCACTTCGCTTGATAAATCAAACAATTTCAGTACCCGAGCTCTTGATCAAATAGTTCAACAATGTATTATTTGGCCCACCTCCCTCTAGTTTAATATAGCTTGAACAGTTTCAACTAGAATTCCAAGGCAAATGCTGTAAAGAAGTATAAGGACACATTTTGATTATCCGTTGACTGACAAGAAGATAAAGGAAAAATGAATGTAAACACTTTGGGGAAAAAAATCAAAGAAGGGGTGGGAATCTGTGGCCTCCTCATTAGAGGCTGCTGAAGTACAATTCCCAGCAACATCCACCACGGCAGCTGAGGCAGTTGGGATTTTTAATTCAGCAACATCCTCCAGTTCAATGTTTCTCAACCTCGGCAACTTGAAGATGTGTGGACTTCAATTCTTAGAATTCTGGCTGGGGAGTTTTGGAAGTTGAAATCCACGTGTCTTTAAGTTGCTGAGTTTGCAAAACATTGATCTGGAGGATCAGGTCCCTATTGTAGACCAGAGAATGATAAGTATTTCCTGCATACCAATAAATATCAACGTGAAGTCCATAATTCAAAATGGGTATCAATATATGGGCATATTTTGGGGGCATATATGCAGATGCTCCATCTTTAGCACATAGAGCTGCAGTCACAATGTTTAGCATTGCACACACGAACATAAAAAGCAAAAAAAGCAAAAAAAACCCCAACCTACAATAGTCACATGCAGCCGAATGTCTCAGCCGTTACCACAGCTATAATGAGATACAAAGTACTAGGACATGGTTGAAGAGAGTATGATTTGCTGGAATTCCTGGAGATTTCTTTTTTATTTGGCTGAGTCTAAAGACTAAGAAACCCCAAGGGTGATTCAACTCAACAGATTCCCTCAACTTGGCCCCCTCCAAATGGATTAAGACTGCAACTTCCAGAATTCCCAACCAGCATATTATTTGAGAAACTTCCAGAGATCACAAGGTTGGGGAAGGCTGAGGTAAAATACAAAAATGGAGAAGCGAGCAATGAAAAAAAAAATCTCTCTTGTAGAATAAATAGATCAGAAGCCCTTTGCATTCTCTCTTCTTCATTTCTTGACTCAGATCTCCAAGTTAATTTCTATGAGGACAGAATGAAGCAATAAAGGAAAGGGAATCTTCCAGTCATTTAGTCTCAGTCTTGCAATGTCTTCTGTGCTCCACTTGGAGACACATTGCTTTTATAAAGCATTTTTCTCACCTTTGTTTTTTGGACTGGGAACAGATCCATTTAGATTAGACATGTTTCTATTTAGCGTCCCTCAGAGCATTTCTATAGAGAAACACAGATCTGGCAGAACAAAAGATGGCTTCCAAATTCTCATTTTCCAGCAATACAGCTCCTTTGTAAAAAGTCAGCTCTAAAAGTCCTGTACACATCAATAGTTGCAAAGACTCGTAAAGGTTTCCTCTACTTTGATTGTGACCAGATCAGTGATCTGAGTTTCTTTTATAAAAAAAAGTAGATGTACCAGCAGAAGTGTAATTTATTCTAATATGCAAAGTTTAGTAAGGGGAGAACTTGGTTTTCTATCAGGATATTGCCAAAATTCAGCTTCTGTTCAAGGAAAGGAAAATATAAAATATCAAAACTTGTTTGCACGGATCCCTTAGAAAACATCTAATCTGAGGATGCTGAACAAATGCATTGCTAGGATTGTTGAGAGAAGAAATCTGGGAATAATCTTCCAAAAAACAGTATAAACATCCAGCAGTTATTCACTAAGCTGCTGTCAGAGAGAACAAGCCACCGGCATCCTTCACCTTGTTCTCCGTCATTGTTTCAAAACTAGAGAATCTTAACGTCTTCGGACCTCTAAGTCCAAGAGGCTGATTGATTGGAGAAAGCAAAGCAAGAAGTACACACTTATCAAAACAAAAAAGTGTGCACCTGTTTTTTGAAAAAAAGGCACCAAATATGAGCAACAGCATTTGTTTTAAAAAGCTCCCCTACACAGGTCTGAAAAGGAATCCTAGAACGTTTTCTTTCTTGCTTAGGAAATGGGGATGGGGGGGAACCTGCCCCTCCTCCACTTGTTCTTGTAATGAAAAGGTCCTCCTTGTGGAGGTGGCTGAGGATTAAGACATCTTCCAGAAGGTCAATGAGGCAGTCAAGACCCCCGCAGCAAAGACAGCAATGGTTTGCCAAGTGGGGGTGCCGAAAAAGGAGAGGAGGCCTTCCTGGAAGGGACAAATAACAAAGGGAGGGAGAAAACAAAGACATCTTACGGTAAAACAAAGACACATTACAGCAAAATACAGGTAATCCTCGTCTTATGACCTGTGGCTTACGACGGACCCTCCAAAAGGCACTGACAACCTGGTTTTGAAGTTCTGACAGCCGCAAGTCATGTGACTGCATTTCAGGGGCTAGGCAACTGGCTCGCCTTTATGGCCATTTGAAAGTGTCCTACCAGCATGTGATTGCAATGCCGAAAATTCTCATTTACTTCCACTTTTGGGTAAAAAGGCCCCATAGCAAACAACTGGTTCACTTAATGACTGTGGCATTCACTTAATGACTGTGCAAAAAAGAAAAAAAGGCTGAACAATTGGATTGGTCTCTTTACGACTGCCTTGAGTTATGATTGTTAAGATCAGGTTCCATGACAGTCATAAGTTGAGGACTACCTGTACAAGCCTCAAGGTAAGAATGTCACGTTTACAGTTGTCCCGTGAAAGTCCACCTCCCTTTGCATTTCTATCTTCACAGCGATCTTGTGAAGGAGACTGGGCTGAGACAGAGCACCTAAAAAAAAAACATCCAGCAAGGGTGGTCTTGATTTGTCCACTCCCCACCCCACCCCCACCAGGATCAACCCAACACCTGAACCACATAGGCAGCCTTGATTTCCCAGTTATGGTTATGGAGAAAGAATTTTTTTAAACAAAAATCCATGACGCCTGGAAATTTGGGGATGGCACACAAACTCAAGAAATGTTCAGATTCTCCAGAATGTTGATACAGGAATTGTTCAGCTGGGAGAAATCACGTACAGGAGGGAGTGAGGAGAAACTTAAAAACACTTCGCAGTTCACACCTCCCCTCTTTTTGTTGTTAAATATAAAAAGGAATTTTAATTATTTGATAGCTTCTGTTCTTGAGTGAACTACTAAGATCAATGTGACCAGTTCTCACCACATGCTAAACCACCATGTGCTTTGCCTGGCTTTGACTCAGTCTGTATGAATTCAGTAATTTTTAAAGCCAGAGTATATGGCTTAGTGTGCTGTACACACGCAGGACTATGGATTAGTATACCATATGGTTAAGTAAATCGTAGCTTAGTGGGCCACACAAACTCATCTCAATATATGCTTGTGTTGAGAATTAACTATACTGCACAAAGCTTCAATTCGTGGGCCTTGGAGTTTTGGTATTAAAAAACTGAAATCTGCTCACATCTTTGTTAAAAGTTTTCTTATCTAAAGGAAGTCAACATAAAGTCCCTGTAAACTCTAAATCAGGAGTCCTCAACCTTGGCAACTTTAAGATTTGTGGACTTCAACTCCCAGAATTCCTCAGCCAGCTGGAAGTTGAAGTCCACAAGTCTTAAAGTTGTCAAGGTTGAGGACCCCTCCTCTAAATGACATTTATACTGTAAACAAGAGCCAGCTTGATGTAGTGGTTAAGATGCTGGCCTAGAAACCAGGAGTCTGTGAGTTCTAGTCCCACCTTAGGCATGAAAGCTGGCTGGGTGACTTTGGGCCAGTCACCAGGAGACTGTGAATTGTAGTCCTGTTTCAGGCATGAAATCTGACTGGGTGAATTTGTGCAGTCACTTTCTCTCAGCCCAAACCATCTCAAAAGATGGTTGTGGGGGAAATAGGAGAAGGAAGGATTATTACACATGTTTGCCACCTTGAGTTACTTATAAAGTAATAAAGCTGGCATAAAAAAGTCTAATAAGTAAGCTCACCCATCCTCCTTGGGCTTGGATCCAGGACAGGACATGTTCCTGGATATATTCCATGGTCCAGCTGATGACAGTCCTTAGGAGCTCTGGTAATTTGCTACACACTACCTATTGAAAAATGACAAAACAGCCAAGTAAGTCCATGAAAAAAGGAAGCCAAAAATGGACAGCAACTGGGGAAGGTGTCTCAAAGACGGGATGACTAGAAATGACATACTTACCTTTAGGATCAACTTGCATGCAAAATAAAACAAGGCCACCACCCGGCCCCAGTTGAAAGCACCGTCTGAGAACATCTCAGCCGCCACTCGAAAGAAAACTTCCTTGGGGGGATACATCTGAACTTGTTCTATCATCCTGTAGGGTGCAGCAAAAAAACAGCCTAAGTTAGGTAGTCCCAGTCGATTATTGGGAGAAGCTCAGGGAGCCTAATACAATGCAGTTGTTTTAAAAAAATGATCCAAGTAAAATTTAATTTTGGCCTCTGTAAAACTAAGCTCTTTGAAGTCATTTGTAGGAAATTCACCAGACCTGGAAGCAGAAAGTGAGAGGGTTGTCAAGTTGACCAGAAATAGGATGTAAGAAAAAAGGCTTCTTTATTGCTAAGCTTTCGTCAACAAGCTGTTGACATCATCAGAACAAGGGCTGAATGACAAGGGAGCATGTGCATACACTTAAATAACAGTTAAAAAGGTTACAGTATGGCATGTGCATATAGCGTGCTCATAAAAAGCTCGCTTGCAAAAATCATATTGGTATCAGCATCTATAAGGAAGTCAGTCTCCGGACAAAATTCAAAAGTCGCACCTATCAGTTGTATATATAATATTTCATCAGCAACATATTATCTGGGTTCCAACATTTAACTTCCTTTCTCTCTACCTCATTTTTCTAGCCATTGATAAAAGTTATCCCATGTTCTAAAATATACTAACTCTTCTCTCTCTTTCATTTTCAATATCAATCTATCATTTCTGCACAATCTAATTTTTTTTAATTAACTCTTCCTCCGTTGGTAAATCTTCATTTTTCCAATGTTGAGCGAATACAATTCTTGCTGCAGTTAATACATGTAAAATTAGATATATAAACTCTTTCTCCTAATTTCCTACAATTATGCCTGACAAAAATAATTCTGGCTTAATGGCTAAAGCGGTTCTTGAACTCACCATCTCACGCTTTCTATCCTGGTACCTTAACCACTAGACCAGGGGTAGGCAACCTTGGCTCTTTCATGACTTGTTGACTTCAACTCCCAGAATTCTTGAGAATTCTGCTGGCTCTTTTTTGCCCTCTTGCTTTTGCCGTCCAGACACCTTCCTAAAGTGCTGGGACTACAATTCCCTTCTGATAAAACCTTTGTGTGTGAAGAATCAGGTAGATTAAAAATTGCATTATCCAATTAAGTCAAATTTCCTCTAAGAGACTCCCAGGCTCACTTAGCATCAAACTGGCAATAACAAATAAATGCGTAATATTCCTAGTCCTGGTACCCCTGCCTTGCAACACTCAATCCAGAGCAATTCACATGGCATTAGTTTTGGCTGTGGGACGCCTACCAAAAGTTATTAATATAATTATTTTAAAAATTGTCCAAGTGTATCTGTACTCTGTATAGGATTTGTTAGACTACAATCTTCTGTAACAATTTAAATGGCATTTGATCAACTAATCTAGCCAATTATATAGGCTTTAATTTAATTTTTATTGTACAATGCTCTGCACACTGCATTACTTAAATATAGATAAAACTAATTGATTGATTTAATCAATTCAAGATTACACAGAGGTATCAAAGGGATTAACAGAAGATAGAAAAGCAATAACTGTATGAATGCAAAGCTTACTTCTATCAGGCAGAAGACGAATAGCTGACATATATTTGAACTCTGGGGATTTTAGCAACTGTTCAAAACTACCATGCCTGTCAAAAGATACTTATGACCTGGATTTCAAAGTTCCAATGGCAGCACCACCCTCCAGCAGTCACGTGATTACATTCTGGATGCCTGGTAACTGGCCCACATTTATGGTCATTTGTCGCTTCCAAGGTCACATGACCACGAATTACCCTGTGTGGTGTGTGGGTTTTTTTGCTGGAAACTCGCGTTTACTTCCAGCTTCTGACAAAATCCGGCCCCATTACAGACAATGGGCTCACTTTATAACTACTACAATATAAATATATCCAATGCTTTTTTTCTAAAAAAACAAAAAAAGGTGCTGGAACTCACACATGTCATACAACTTGCCTTGCCTACCCTACAAGGTTCCATCCAAAAAAGGTGCCGGAACTCTGTTCTGGGCGTTCTATGAGAAAAAAAGCCCTGAATATATCATAAAATTGGTTCAGGTCAAATGGGTGCCTTAAGTTATAACCATCATGACATATGATGGAAATTCCAGGCTCCACTGCATTTAAGTCAAGGTCTACCTAGAGTTCTCCCCCCCCCAACTGTTAATGTGTTTAGAAGTGTTCTTGAATAACGGGACTGCAAATAACAATTTAGATCAGGGGTCTTCAAACTTGGCCCTTTTATGACTTGTGGACCAACTCCCACAATTCCTCAGTCAGGCACGCTGGCTGAGGAATTCTTGGAGTTGAAGACCCCCGATTTAGATCTTTTAAAGAAGTAATGGTGGCAGTGGTGGCACCGCAGTCACTGTTGCCAAAATGTACCTCTGCAGCTCTGTGTTTCCATCCAGCTCATCTCCAATCCGGCGCAGGCACTCGCTTAGTGATTTGGTGTTGGGATTACAAGCCTGAGCCTCTGAATCGTCCAGCTCTGCCATCGTCACCTCAATACGTTCCGAATCTCCACAGCACTGGATTCGATCCCTGATAAAGCTGAAACAGGGTCCAAGAAAAATAAAATAAATCATACAAAAATTTTCAGCCTGAGATCTCAACCAGCTTTGTCCTTCCAGGTCTTTGCAGAAGAATCAGCAGCTCAAAGTCACAGCTTTATTGCTAGTCCCTCCAAGAGGGGAACTATATGCCTCTAAAGCAGGGGTCGGTCTCCAACATGTGGGTTGCAGTTCGCTACCGGACCGTAGTCTCTTGGCTACTGGGCTGTGTGAGTGGCTGGCCAGTGCATGCGTGTATGCATGCATGCATAGCCCCAATCGCATGATCGTCACTGCAAGCATTGCAGGCGTTTGTGGCCCCACGAGAATGTGCTCGTGTCGCCATGAGCATTATGGGCACAGCCCGACTTGCGTGAGTGTTGCAAGTGCTCACAACCTCTTGCATGAGTGTTGCGGGCACTCACAGCCCCTCGCGTGAGTGTTGCGGGTGCTCATGGCCCCACTTGCTACTTGCATGAACATTGCAGGTACTCACATCCCCACTTGCGTGTCGTGGGTGCTCATGCTCATGTCCCCCTTGCGTGAGCAATGGGTGCTAGTATGCACGGAAAGATTGGGGAATTCTGCTCTAGAGTCCAGGTAGTCCTCAACTTGCAACAATTGAGCCAAAATTGATGTTGTTAAGTGAGAAATTTGGTGAGTTTTACCCCATTTTATGATTTTTCTCTCCACATTTGTTAAGTGCAACAGTTATAAGTGTGAAAAACAGCCATAAGTCGCTTTTTTCAGTGCCATTATAACTTCAAATGGTCATTAAATGAACTGTTGAAAGTCAAGGACCACCTGTAGTGCATCTCAACCTTAGCAACTTGAAGATGTGTTGACTTCAACTGCCAGAATTCCACACATCAAGGTTGAGAAACCCTGGTCTAGATATTTGCTGAAAATATAGTACTCACCTTTTGAGAAGAATGGTTCCCGTCTGAAGGATTTGATCTGAACTTGTGCCTGAAAGGTAAAAAAAGCAGCATGAGAACCTGAGCTATGAGGGGAAGGCAAGTCTCCAGGATCAAAAACAGTAACAAGCTCCGCCCAGTCCAACATCCTGCTTCACACCATTGAACGTAGTCCTCGATTTATAGCTGTTTGTTTAATGATTATTCAAAGTTACAATGGCACTGAAAAAAGTGACTTGTGATCAGTTCTCCCACTTATCACCCTTGCCACAAGCCTTACAGTCAGGTGATCAGACTTCAGGGGCTTGGCCACTGGTATGCATTTACAATGGTTGCAATGTCCTGGGATGGTCATCTGCTACCTTCCTAGGCAGCTTCTGATCAGCAAAGTCAATGGGGGAAGCCATATTCGCTTAATGACTATATAATTCACATAAAAACTATAATGTTTCGCTTAACAATCAGGGCAAAATGAAACACAACTCACTTAGCAACTGCGTTTACTTAGTAATGGAAGTTCTGGGCTAAACTGTGGTCGTACATCGAGGAGTACCTGCACCGGAATCCCACACTCAGGATATGAAGAGTTTCCATTCTCTATGACTCATTTAATCCCTATGACGGTCTGTCATCACATCTTACTCAATGAATGGCAGAAATCAATTGACTGGCACAATCACACTATGAAATGCTGCCTTTGGGGGCACGTGCCATTATCACAAGTGGCATAGTTTACATGTTTTGTTATGACATACTTAATAAATGGCAACAGCTTGAATTGTTTAACATGGTAAGCCAAAACAAAGCTAGGAGGGGTAGCTAATATTAGAGAAGACGGGAAAAAATCCAAAAAGACTTAGGCTTGAATAGGAGGAAGGAACAAGTAAGATTAAAAAATAAGTACAGGTAATCTTCAACTTATGAGCACATTTGAGCCCCAAATTGCTGTTGCTAAGTGAGACAGTTATTAAGTGGGTTTTGCCCCATTTTACAACCACAGTTATTAAGTGAATCACTGCAGTTGTTAAGTTAGTGACATGGTTGTTATATGAATCTGGCTTCCCCACTGACTTTGCTTGTCAGAAGGTCGCAAAAGAGGATCACACGACACCGGGACACTACAACCGTCATAAATATGAGCCAGCTGCCAAGTGTCTGAATTTTGATCACGTGACCATGGGGCTGCAGCAATGATCGCTAAGTATGAGAAATGATCATAAATCACTTTTTTCAATGCCCTTGTAACTTTCGATGGTCACTAAATGAACTGTGGTAAGCCATGGACTGTCTGTAGGGAGAAATGTAAGACCATGCAACTAGATAAGGAAGACGAAAGAAGTATGTACAGGACAGAGTAAATCTGGCTCAAGAAGAAATACTCAGATATACTCTTGAATCACAAGTTCAACCTATTCCAATAGTGTAATGCAGCTGAAAAGAAGGCCATAAACCTGTCGAAGAGCATCAAGAGGAGCGTAGTGTCCAGATAAGATAACCTTTTTTGTCATTTTTATACGTGGGCACAATGGCACTCATGAAAAATGAAATTTAGTTGCCCATTCTCAAAGTGAAACACATACATGACACACACCTAAACATACTATGAACAACATATGTATAGACCCACATCCCTACATATACGTAGCAAATAAATATTAAACACTGTCCATCTTGAATATATAACGGAAGGAGGAAGCTTGAGAGTTCACAAGGTTAATGCTGTATGGAATGAAACTATGGCTGAATCTGGATGTTCTGCTACGGATACCACAAAGCCTCCTCCCAGAAGGTAACAAGGAAAACAGGTCGTGAAGAGGATGTATAATGTCCCAGATAATCTTACAGATCCTGCTCAAGCAGCGCTTCTGTGCTATGTCCTGATGGGAGGGAGGGAACTGCCAATGATCTTTTCGGCCATTCTCACCACTCTCTGCAACGCCTTCCTGTCTGAAGCAGTGATGCCTCCAAACCAGACTGTGATGCTGTATGACAGGATAGTTGAGCACTCCCTACATTGACCACTTCCCTAAGTTGACCTAATTTTGGTAGACTGGACATACAGAAAGCCAACCTCTCTATATTGACCACCTCTGTAAGTTGTATCTTGACCATCTGGACCTTGACACACAGTATTCATTTACTCTCTATAACTTGACCAGTTGAGTCCAGTCTGCATCAAGACTAAGAAAAGTGAAATGCAGAATTGGTAGCAATGAATTTCTTTCAAGCAGAATATCAAAGAATACAATATTTTTGACTTTGATTTAGCAGTAAAGATGATGAAGTCTTTAATATTGACGAGCATGGACTCTTTTTCAAGGAGATGCCTTACAGGAGCCTCGTTATGACAAATGTAAGAGTGGAAAACTTTCTAAAGAATGTTTCACAGTTCTGATGTGCACTAGCTTAACCGGAGAGAAGTTAAAACCTTTGGTGATTGGTAAATTGCAAAGCTACACTCATTCAAGAGCCTGCAGCCCAAAAATCTTCCCGTCACCTGGAAATCTAACAAATCTGCATGGATGACTGGTGCCCTATTTGAGAAGTGGATTAAGAAATACTGACCGAGAAATGAAGAAGAAGAAACAGTCCATTCTCCTTGTAGTGGACAACTGTCCTAGTCATCCCCAAGTGAAACATCTTATAAAAGGTGAAACTGAAATTTTTACCTCTAATACTACATCAAAAATTTAATCTCTCAACTAAGGCATAATCAAAACATTCAAAATGCACCACCGAGCCCAGGTTATGTTGTGGGTCATGGCTAAAATGCTAGTCCATTTGCAGAAGCAAAATTCTAACCCTAACGCTAAGTTAAGTGAATTAAGTGAGGAGGACCCAGAAATTGCAGATATTCCAAAAGAAGAGGATGTCAGTCATTTGATAATGCAGTTAAAGTCATTTGCCATGGAAAAATGCCCAGGTATGTTGAGTGATATAGTCGGCATTGAGAGTGCTATCTCCACTTACCTTCATAAAAAGAATAAGGATCAGACTAAAACTGATTTTTTTCCCCCAGAAAGAATGATCAAACCATGAGAAAACAATACACACATAAATGTATGGTTTTGTATGATACAGTATTGAATGAATGATTTTCCTGTGTTTTCACTACATGACCATTTTCCTGTGTTTTTACTACGTGTGACATTCTCTAATAAAAGCCCTACAATAAAACGAGGCACGTGTACACATCAATACAGTTGTTCCTGTATGTTGACCACTTTTGTTCAGTCCCACGGGTGGTCAACTTTCAGAGGTTTTACTGTAATTGTTCTTTTCTACTCTGCCTTGGTCAGGCCTCAGAGTATTGTGCCGAGTCCTTCACTTGATAAGCAGGAGCAACTCTAGAGAAGAACTACCCAGATGATGAAAGGACTTGAAAACAAATCCTATGACAGTGGTGGCGAACTTATGGCACGCGTGCCAGAGGCTGCACTCAGAGCCCTCTCCGTGGGCATGCGCGCCATGTCTTGGAGATGGCAACCATCCTCTTCAATCAGCCGCCTGCTAACTCGCTGAGGTCCCACGTGGCTGGATGCATCTCAGCACCCATGCACTCTCTGGCCTCTGTGTGCGTGGGCTGATGGTGTCAGGCAGCAGCCGTCCTGGACCCTGTCTCGCCTTGTCCTGTGACAATGGCACTCCCGCCCTGCCTCGCCTCGCCTCACCCCGCAGGACGAGCCTCCTGCCCACTTCCCCACCCACCAGAGACCCCCTGGATCTCCCCCAACCCACAGGTGTCCCTCCCCAGGAGCAACATTGAGCTGGCCACGCCCACCCATCTGCCATGACCACTGTAGCCACACCCAATGGGCCACGCCCACCTGACACCCGGCAATACATAAGTGGGTTTTGGGTTGCAGTTTGGGCACTCGGTCTCTAAAAGGTTTGCCATCACTGTCCTATGAGGAATGGTTTAAAGAACTAGGTGTTTAGGTTGGAGAAGAAAACGTGGAGAAGGCACATGAAAGCTATCTTTAAATATCTGAAGGGTTGTCACACTGTAAAGCAGGGCTGTCAAACTTGCAACGTCACGTGACGTACTGCGATGTATTGCAACTTTTTTGCCATTTCCGGCAATGAGGTGGGTGCAGTTTCGCTATGATGCATCCGGCCTGTGGGCCGGCAATTTGACACCCCTGCTGTAGAAGGTTAAGGACTATTTTTCCTTGCTTTGGAGGGTAAAACAAAGCAAATGGGATGAAACTTCCAGGATGTTGATACAAATTAGACATTAGGAAGAACCTGAGAGTAAGAGCTGCTGGTCAATGGAGCAGGTTATGCATTGCACAGAGTGGTTTCTTCACTTTTCACGGAGGTTTTCATCTACTAGAGCAGGGGTAGGCAACCTTGGCTCTTTTATAACTCGTGGACTTCAACTCCCAGAATTCCTGAGCCAGCCATGCTGAGGAGAAAGGGAGAGATTTCCAAGCTGAGCCATGCTGGCTCAGGAATTCTGGGAGTTGAAATCCACGAGTGATAAAAGCAACCGCTGTACTAGAGATAGTGTAGTGAGCCTTGCAGTGTCCAAGGGGTTGGAATTGATGACTGATGAATTGAAACTACAACAATGATGAACAGAAACTAAGAAGCAAACTTAAACAGGGTAGCATGTGAATGTTTGCACTCTTACTCACATGGTTGACTCACCATTTAACCCTTTTAACCAAGAAACCCCTTTCCCTCAGTTCGAAATTTACCGGTTGCAAATATGAATAAAAGAGAAAGAAAAGCTCTCAGCAAGTTCTTCCTTCACCAGTTCTAGCAAATAAACCCATTTCCTGTTTCATTTCTTTTGACTGTGCCACCCATTTCAAGATTGTCTTATCATGACTAATTATTTTCCTAGCTATCATTTCATGTGATTGCTTCAAGTTATCAGTTTATTATTTTTGTTATCTCCATAAAACTAATAAAGAAATCATCCAGCCAGAAATAATTTATCTCTTAACTTCAACATTCTTCTACCTGGCTCACACAGAGGTGAAAAGCACAGTTCCCCAAAATCATAACCAGCAGCACCATTGAAATTGGGATCCAATCATGTACAGGGGACCTGAAGATGGCAAAGCTGCCTCACAGCCATTAACATAAAAATACATATATTCTGGTGTATAGGGCGACCCGGCATATAAGACGACCCCCGAGTTCGACGCCGGGTTGCAAGACGATCGACGCTGAGTCGCATGCGTAGAAAGTCGTCTTATACGCCAGAAACTACAGGTATTTCCGGCGTATAAGACAATTGACGCCGAGTTGTATGCCTAGAAAAATTGTCTTATACACTGGAAACTACTTTATTTCCAGCGTATAAGACGATTCGGCATATAAGACGACCCCCGAGTTCGGCGCCTGTTTCAGCGCTTTCAAAAGTCGTCTTATACGCCGGAATATATGGTAGTTTGATTTAGGATTTCTTAGTGCTTATGCAGGTAGTACTTGACTTATGACCGTAATTCAGCCTGGAGTTATGGTTGCAAATCATGCTGGTTGTTAATTAAATGGGTCACCTGGTGACCCCGCCCAATTATACAATCTTTTTTGCAGCAGTCGTTAAGTGAATTGTCATGGTTGTTAAGTGAATCTCTTTTCCTCAATGGGTGGAAAATGGAAAGTAAATGCTGGTTTCTGGCAAAAAAAAAAATCTATTAAATTGTAGTCATGTGACTACAGAACACTGCAAAGAAGATGTAAGTAGCCCTGGGGAGGTCTGTCATAATTTGGAATAGTCACTAAGCAGCCAGTTGTAAGTTGAGGCCTACCTGTACATATATTTGTTATTATTTTGTAAGAGAAAATGCCTTTGGTTCACCTGATGATAGAGCAAAGGGAAACCGAAACCTGTTTTTAAAATATGCTCGGCATGGCTAAAGTAGATTTATAGGTTAGCAGCATGCCAGGTTCGCAAAAAGTTCAGTACTTAGCCATTTCCCCCCCTTAACATTTGCCTATATTCTGGAGAATCTTTGCACATACATATTCCTACCTCCCATGTTTTCTATTCTGTCACATCTTTCCCATGATCAGCAAAGAATGTAATCTACAATCTTTGCCTAACAAAATAATACATCCTTGTCTCTCATTCACTCCAGAGAATGTGCCAATTAAAAACGTTTGTTTCACACCAGAATAAAACTGTATTTTTTCTGAAATGTCAATACCATCTCTAGTATCTGGAGATCCACATACAACATGCCCCAAGTTATGTCTTCCTGTTTTCTTCACATTTATACCTTGTGCCTTTTTCAACCTTCCTGATCTAAATTTAGATTGTAAGTTGCTAACAAGCAGGGACTTGTCCTTTACGTAATGAGCACCAACTTGATTTTGATAAAAGTAATGAGACAGATTTACATTGTTTTTAGAAACAACAGAACTATTTTCAGAGGTAGCATTGCCCTGAATAATAATCTAACACAGTGTTTCTCAGCCTTGATAACTTTTAAGATGTGTGGACTTTAATTCAAGGAATTCGCAGGGAACATTCTCTCTGGCTTCTAAGAAGTTTTAGATTTCTGTTGTGGCCAAAAAATGATGAATTAGAAATACTGCTATTTAATTTGATTAAGCCTGGCCGTTTTTTAAAAAATTAACTAACTGCTTCATACATGTCAGCACCAATATCTGTAGCAAGAACCATTCATTTATTTAATACAGCTGCCCATCTCTCAACAGAGATTCTGGGTGGCTAACAGAATTACAACTCAATAAAAACAAACAAATAACAAAAAATTCAATAAAGATTATAATAAAAATAAACAGAATACACAAAAAAATACACAAAGGGCCACATAGGGCAATAACAAGAACTACAACACCCATCACAATAGCTAGGGAAAAACAAATCCAATTCATATATTAGTTTTGGTGAATTTTATTGTCAAAAAATACAGTGGCAAATTATTTGATACATTTCTAAAATTTAGTAGCTCAAATAAACTTCAATATTGTTAAATAATTTCATTTTGCTAGTTTGATTTCTGCCTACCAAAAGGATGTTTTGCCAGAAATGGAAAATATTTTTTCTCTTGTATTTTCAAATTTGGAAATGTAGGTGGGAATAAACAAATATAGTTCAAATACTAAACTATAAGATCTAGATAGAACTACCAAAGTATATTAACATACTTGATAATAGGCAATCAAAATGAATAAAAAAAATTCTTTAAAAATGAGGAATTTAGTTATATCACATTTTAAAATGTTACTGAAATCTTATCTAATTCAAACACATCAATATATTCATCTGAACTTTGAATTATATTTTATGGGATATTGGTTAATGGTAACCAATTGATTGATCTTGCAGTTAGGGCACTTTGACCAGACACACCATTAAGTTCTTATCTTTCTTTGTAAAACCGAGAAGACAAAGATGGAGGGAGAAGAAATGGAAGAGACTTGGACAGGAGGAAGAAGGAGTGGTAGGCGTACAGTTTCTTAAAATAAATTTCTGAGTTTTGCTGGAGAAAATGTAGGAATTAAATCCTATTGAGACAGCACACCATGCAGAATCACTTGAGACTAATTTTTGAATCTCCAGATGTGTATCAAATGCCATAGAAATTCTATTTTTCAGAAACTGAATCAGAGTACTGAAAAATGTATTTCTATATCAAAGTACAAGAAAGTAATGACTAATAGAACCCAACTAGTGATTTAAATCAAACATATTAAATCTTCACTCCAAAAGAGCTATATGAAAAGCAAAACTGACTGTGAATTTGTAACTTATGATTATGAGACAGTCTTATCAAGAGCAAAGTCCCATTACTATTAAAAAGCATTGCACAGCTACTCCATCTTTCTCTTTATTACTGGATATCTCTGTGTGTGTTGTGTGTGTGGGACAGGGAGGGACACAAATAACATTTTTTAAAAATGGATGTATTAACAGTTGGAATACATTTGGAGCATTTGCATATTCCACTTAAGAAACAGCACTATAAAATCCTCATCTAGAAACCACTGAAATATAGACTCCACAGCTTCATTACAATACAATTTGTTTTCTTTCCCTCATTTCATTTGTTCAGAATTCAAAAGTTTCGGTGCCAATTTTGTGACATTTTAATTAACTTCCTGAAGACACTGCCCTTATACTAGATTTTCATTTTCTAATTTGATGCTGGCATCCATCACCATCTCATGTCTCGTTTTGTTGTGGCTTTGATTTTCGGGAACTTATTGTATTCCTTTGCGCACCAGCCACTCGGAATATAGTGACTACAACAATCTTAACAAAAAAAGACCATGCAAAGAACCAAACATTTCCAACTCTGTTGCAGCACTTGACATCTGCCTTGGTGTTGCCCACTCCCACCCAGAGGTTTGAAAGGGGCTTTTTCTCAGTCTTGCAATAATCTGGATTTGTTCCTGATGTACATCTATTTCCTACTTCTTCATCCTTGTCACCCTCTAAGAGGTGGGGGAGTGTATTAATGTACTGTGGTTTTGTTTTCAATTTGAATCAGAGTTGCTCTCGAGTCGAGTGGCTTTAGAAATCTAAATCATCAATGATCAGATCCTTATCGGAATCCTGCTCAACATCTTTGGAGGGCTAAATAAAACTCTCTTGCTAGGATAGGTTCCCTTATTGTCATTTCAAAATCCTGACTGATTTAGTCACCCCGAGGCAAGGCATCACTTCAAGGATAAAAGCCTCCATAAATGAAAAGCACACCCAAGATTCTCGAGGAGGAAGCAACAGAAGCCAAAAGGCAGCCGAATGGTGGTTTTTTTTTTTTTTTTTGCCCGCCACTTGAACCTACCTGGCAGGGTTGTCGCACGGACAAAAACAAAACATGCCCACGGCCCTGCCCTTCCTTAGCCCGGCAAGACTACAACCCTCAGCCAGCAGGGGCTATGGACCCGCTGGGTGGGGACGGCGACTGTCGGGAGTCGGTCTCCTCAGGAAGGCGCTAGGCTGGAGAGGAGCAGCATCAAGGCGCTCAGGCTAAAGGGCGAATGGAGCCATGGAAATCTTCATGCCCGGGCATGCCCTCGTCTTCGGAGAGGCAGCTCACGCGTGCCTCGGCGTTCAGCCTCCGACAGGCTCGCCCGGCTGCCGCGCCCCGCCTTCCCTGCTCCCCGAGCCCCGGCACGCTCACCCTCCTTGCGAGGCGGGAGCTCCCGCTCTCTCCCGGGACCCGCCGCTGCCGCCGCCATCGTTCCCCTCTACTCAGCTGTGTCCCGACTCCAGGCGGCAACCCGCTTTATAGAGTCACGTGATCCAGCGGCCGGCAAAGGGGGACAGGCGGAAAAAAGTGAGGGGGGAGAAAAAAAAAGCAGCGCAGAGAATGGGAGAGGGTCATTGCCGGTCACGTGACGAAGCAGCGGCACCCGAGAGAGGAGGCGGGCTGAAGCCATGACATCCTCTTTTCTGGTTGCCGGCTTGAAGAGCCGGAGGGAATGGGGGGGGGGAATGTAACCGCGCAAACTTCCGTCAACTCATGCGCAGAACTGTTTTGTAGCCAAGGCATATAAGGGCAGAATCTCCCCCCCCCACTTCGTGGGTCACGTGATCCTGATACCGTCGCTCCTCTCTCAAGGAAGGGGCGAAAGTTAAAGAGATCGTGCGACGCGAAGTAAGGGATCGTGTGATGCGGAGGAGGCAAGGAGACCCCGCCCAGTTCGAAGACAGACTTTGGTTCCCCCGGCACTGCCAGTAGGGGGCAGCAAAATGAACTTCAATTTAAAAAAATGTTGGATTTGCTTCTGCGTAAACGTGCAAGCTTGCACTAAGATCGCTAAAAGCCAATCATGTGGAACTGGGTTCGCACACTACTGTACACCCCTTCAAAATAGAATTGGCTAATACAGTTGTGGCGAACCTATGGCATGGGTGCCACAGGTGGCACGCAGAGCCCTCTCTATTGGCAATCGCTTGTCGCCCGAGTCCTAGGCCTTAGCTGGATTTTATAAAACCTTTTTACTTTAGGCCTCCGCTGCCATGTGCAAAAAAAAAAAAAAGTTCAATCAATTTAAACTTCTGGTGGGAAAAAAAATCTCGCAAAGTTGGAAGTGATTGATTGAACTTTTTAGTCCCAACCAGTCTGCTGTTGCCACTGCAGCCACGCTTACCCAATGGGCCACGCCCACCCAGCACCCGATACATAAGTGGGTTTTGGGTTGCAGTTTGGGCACTCTGTCTCTAAAAGGTTTGCCATCACGGCTAGTAGCTTAATGGTTGCATGAAGTGCTGAGTTTTAAGAAATCTTCGATGAACAAAAAAAGGCAAGGCAAGGCAAAATCTTAATCAGTGAAACTGGGTATAATATAATAATAAAAAACTGGATATAATTTCAAATGCAGGAATGGGATTTTTAAAACAAAAATTGGCCTTCTAATCTTGTATTTAATTGTTGCTAATTTTAATCTTAATGCTTTAAATCAGTGGTTCTCAACCTGTGGGTCGGGACCCCATTTGGGGTCGACTGACCATTTCACGGGGGTCGCCAAACAATGCAGTCCACCATTTTTTCCCTTAGCTGTGCTACTCCCTTTTATTCTATTGGCTTTTGAAAGCCAATAGAATAGACTCTCTTGAATAGAGTCTAATTCTATTGGCTTTCAAAAGCCAATAGGAATTGTCCAGGCTGTCTCTGCCCTGCTGAGCCCGCCAAAAGCACCATTCTGCAAACGGTGCTGCACCAGTTGAGTAGTCCTCAACTTACGATCGGTTGGGGGTCGCAGCATTAAAAAGGTTGAGAACCACTGCTTTAAATGTTTGTATACTTATGCTTTTATTCTATCGTAAGTAGTCCAGAGTAACCCAGGACAATGAAATGGGCTGTATATGAATTTAATAAGAAACAAACAAACAAGTGGCAATGACAGCCAAATTGCTTGAGTTATTTAGCGTTTGGAAAAAATAGATTTGATTTTGTAAACCACTTAGAGAGGGCTGTAATGCACTGTGAAGCGGTATATAAGTCTAAGTGCTATTGCTATTGTGTGCCATCAAGTGCTGTTATGTGTCATTAGCAACCACGTAGATAACTTTTCTCCATCAGAACGAAGTAGTAGATACTCAAAGTTATTTCCTTTAGCTTAATAAAGCACTGGATCAAATAAAGCCAAATATTCTCTTTTTTTCAGTTTTAGGTACCCTAAAGTTGAATAATGTGTTACCCTTAATAGGGTATCAAGTATTATCAAAGATATACAACCCAAAGTTCTAGGGCTTTAAATGATCCTTAATAGTTTGCAGAGTTCTCCAAATACTAAAATTGTGTAATTTTAAATTGATAGTAAACATTCTAACATATCAACTATGGGGTTCTTGTTGCTTTCTGAGTTTGGTAGTTTGCTTGAAGATGTTTCATTATTGTACTAGGTGTAACACCAGGAAAACCCCCACTCTCTTGTAATGCTGATGTCACCTAGTTTGGTAATGAAATATCTACAAGAAAACCACCAAGCCTGAGAACACTCCAAAGTTCAACCCTGAGCTACAACTATTTTTTTTTAAATATATTTTAATTTTTTTTTAATTTTAACAAAAAGTACTTAAGACACACTTGTTTGGGAAAACAAACATTCCAAAATAAAAACATACATAAACAGCTCAACTTAGTACATTCACTGTCATCTCTCTATTTCCCTCAAATAACATAATAGATTTAAAATATTCCATTTCTAGTTTAAATTTCTATTACTACTAAACCTGTTTTAAAACTTTATCAATTTACAATTACCATAATCAAATATTGTTTTACATCAACAGATTATCACTTCAAGTATCTCTTCCAAATATACTCAAACTCTTAATCTCTCTCATCCCTCTTTTTATCACCAATCTCATTTATTTCATCTTCCAATAATAACTAACTTAATTAAAAAAACAATACCTAATTCATTTCAATTCATTACACAAACTTCAAATTCCATCCAATTATCATACCTTATCAAATCATATTATTATACACAAAAATCTCCTAATTAATTAAACACTTCAAAGTTCCAATCTAAAAAACTCAATGTTTTTTCAATTTCAATACATAATTTCCCTCAAAATCAATCTATTAAAATACATTCTTAGTCTCTTTAAACATAAATATACATATATATATGTATAATTATATATTTTTTATCCTTAATACAATCCATAAAGCCAAGTTTCTTTTTTTACTCCAAATTTAATTTTCATTATTTCTGTACTAGACAAATTTCCATAAAGCAAAAAGATCATCTAACTAAATTAAACACACATGTATATAATTGTATTTTTCTTACTTCTAAGTCTAAATCATTATCCTTAAAACATTCCATAAAATTTGTACCATGCAAATTTCCGCTGATGGAGGGAAAGCTAGCCGACGAGGAGAGAAATCTCTCCATGCGACTAGTGACGCTGCGAACCGGAAGCGGAAGTCAGCTACAACTATTTTCTTCTATCAGTACATATCAACTATGTTTTAATTTCAATTACATTAATTCAAATGCAGATTTTGTTCTTCCTCCATGCATACAGTATTACAAGTTTACACAACTGGAATAGGCTGCTGTCTTTTTTAAAATCCTTGTTTTTTTTTTTTTTTTTAAAAAAAACAGAAAATGCAGTCAAAGCAGCTCTTGTAAGGCATTGCCATTTTATTTTGACCATTTTCAAATACTCAAGAGATATAAGTTTAGCTACATGGAACTCAAATCATGTGTTACCTGAAATTTTAGGCTTCAGCATTAGCATTTTTTAAAAAGGTGATACTAGTACTTTTTAACATGGCAGTTTAGACCCTTTTTTCACCTCAGAAAAATTTTTTTTCTCCTTCTTAACCAAGCCATTTGATATTCAACAATTTGTGTTTTTGATGTTAAAAAGACAACTTATTCTGAAAGTTCTTGAATAAACTTGCTAGTTTTAAGAAAGATACAAACTCAGCTAAGAGAAATGAAACCCATAAATTTGCTACTTTTGGTATCTAGTTGTCTAGAATTAATGTTTTCCCTTCAAGTCTCACATAGAATAGTTTTAAGAAAAATAGAAATCCAGCTTAGAAAGGGTAACCCATAAATCCAGCTGGGTTTTACCTTTCTTAAAACTTTTAAGTATAAATGTTTTTTATTGTTCGATCACTTGCTTTCTAAAGGTTTGTGGCTCAGCGCAGGGGAGAGGGGTTGATTTTGTGTAAGCATTAGGTACACATGCACACATCTTCATTTGTGTGCAAGTGGGGCTGTGAGCACCAGTGTCCACCACTCACGTGACCTGGTTGCAAATAAGCCACAGTCCGTTAGTGAGCCACAGCCATCAGGTTGGGGACCCCTGCTCTAAAGTGTCACATATACAAAATGCACTTGTCATTTGTTTCTGTACCCCAGTAAAAAGACTTGACCATCCTTTAATACAGTGGTTCTCAACCTGTGGTTTGCGACCCCTTTGGGGGGGGTCGAACGACCCTTTCACAGGGGTTACCTAAGACCATGGGAAAACACATATTTCTGATGGTCTTAGGAACCGAGATACCGCTCCTTTATCCGTCTCTGCACGGCTTCAAGCTGGGGGCCATTGCAGCGCCGGATTCGTTTCCGTCGAGCATCTCCCAAGGGAGGCTGCGCTGCTTTGCAGCCCTTTCTGCGGAGGAGGCTGAACTAAGCTTTGCCGGCGTTGTCATCCTCTTGGCGCTCTCTCTCTCTCTCTGCCTGGGTGTGTCTCCAACCAGGCTGGGTGGAGCTGGCGGAATGGCCTTCCTGTGCCCCCTCCCCGGCCAGCTGGAGCCGGGCAGGCCGGTGACCTTTGGAAGTGAGGCGAGGACAGGCGAGGCGCGCTGAGCCCCGGGCGCGGTGGGTGAGTGGGCATCGGTGTGCGTTTGGAGAGCCCTTAGGGTTGGGGGTCACCACAATCTGAGGAACTGTATTAAAGGGTCGCGGCATTAGGAAGCTTGAGAACCACTGCTTTAATAAATGTTTTTTGCTTTGCCTGAATTAGATAGATAGATAGATGATAGATAGACAGACAGATAGACTTTTATTGTCATTTTTTACTGTGGGCACAATGGCACACATTAAAAATGAAATTTAATTGCTTGTTCTCAAAGTGTACGCATACATAACAACATTTAAACATTCTATATACAATATATGTATAGACCTACACCCTTACATATAAGTAACATATAAATAGTAATCACTGTCCATCTTGAATACATAATGGAAGGAGGAAGCTTTAGAGTTCAGAAAGTTAATACTGTATGGAACAAAACTGTGACTGAATCTGGATGTTCTGCTTTGGATACCACAGAGCCTCCTCCCAGAAGGTAACAAAGAAAACAGGTTGTGAAGAAGATGTGTCATGTCCCAGACAATCTTGCGAACCCCACTCAAACAATGCTTATGTACTATGTCCTGAATGGAAGGGAGGGAACTGCCAATAACCTTTTCAGCCATCCTCACCACTCTTCGCCTTCCTGTCTGAAGCAGTGATGCTTCCAAACTAGTCTGTGATGCTGTATGACAGAATGCTCTGGATTGTTCCTCTGTAGAAAGTGGAACATGTGTTTTTCTCATACGACACAGAAAATGCAGGCGCTGCTCCACCAGTCTCTCACTGTTTAGCGACCAAGCCAGCTTATTTGCTAACTGCACACCCAGGAATTTGATGCTGGTAACCATCTCCACAGGTGAATCATTAATGCACAGAGGAGCGTGGCTGTGCCTGCCTTTTCTGAAATCGACAATGATCTCTTTGGTTTTTCCAATGTTTAAAACTAGGCTGTTTTCCTTACACCAGTTCACCAAAACCTCAACTTCCTTGCGGTAAGCACTCTCACTGTCATCTTGAATAAGGCCCACTACTGTTGTATCATCTGCAAATTTCAGAATATAATTGGTGGCAAACCTAGCACAACAGTCATGGGTCAACAGGGTGAGCAGCAGTGGACTTAGGACGCAGCCCTGAGGAGAACCTGAAAATGGTGTTAGAAATGTATGTTCCAGCTCACACATACTGAGGCCTGTTAGTAAGAAAATCAAGAATCCAGTTGAACAAAGGAGTGTTTAAGCCTAAAGGGCCCAGTTTATCTACTAGATGCTGAAGAGTGATTGTGTTGAATGCTGAACTGAAGTCGACGAACAACAAACACACATGAGTATTTCTTTCCTCTAAGTGCTCCAAGCTCAGATGGAAAACAGAAAAAATAACATTCTCTGTAGAGCAATTTGGTCGGTAAGCAAACTGAAGCGGGTCAAACGCTGGTGGGAGCCTGGATACAATAATGTCATTTATCAGCTTCTCAAAGCATTTCATAATGATAGATGTCAGTGCAACCGGACAGTAATCATTGAGTCTGTAATTGTGGATTTCTTTTGGCACAGGCAAAATGAGGGCCGTCTTAAAATACGATGGGACCACTGCCTGCTGCAATGAGAGATTGAAAATATTACTTGATGATTTGAATTTCTGGTGATTCATACTTTCAAGTGGGCAAAGAAGGCCCTTTGCAAAGGTAAAAGTGTCTTTCTCAAATTCGGGGATCAAGTTCTTGTTAGTTCCATGCTGAACTTGGGCACCTGAGTTTCAAGGCAACAGGCACAATATGAAAAATACTATATTTTGAACCATTTGGGGTACAACATTTCATGGAATCTGATTCTGAGTGGGGAATTGGTGAATTCCAAAATCCTTGAAACAACCTATTTCACACTTTTGAACTTGTTATTTTTATACAGCCCTAGCTATAGTACAAAGAGTGACTGAGATGTCCTTAAGTTGCCCAATCAAATGAAATAAATTGTGACAGCTCTATCTATGTTTTTAAGTGCCCTAATCTGAGTAACGAAAATTCCCTAATTTGAACCTGACAACTTATCTTCATTGTCACTGTAGTTCTTTATCGTATGATAAAGAAGTTTAAATGAACCAAGACAGAAATCAGTTTCTCACTCTAAAATTTAATACAATGCAAGTATTTGTGCTAAGCAGCTTTTATTGAAGAGGAAGGGGGAAACAATTAAAAGTTTGTTTTCTTCTTTTAAGGCTCATTTATAGACCTTAAGTTCTATTCCCTCACAAGAAACTGACACCCATTACCAGAACAGTGGAGTTTTAATTACTTGCTTTGTTTTGCCCTGCATTAGGGAAGTCCTCAAAACAAAATTTAAACTCCAACATACAGTTCATTTATTGAAGTATTGAAAAAGTCCAGTAATTCCCCATAGAGAATATCAAAAAATAAGCAGCCTATTGATTACTTCTCTAAAGCTTTTAGCTCTTTGAGCTATAATCTCTGACAAAGTACTGAAAAAGTCCATTCTCGCCTTTATTTCTCACTGAGGTAGAATCTTACTGAAGTAAGACTGCGGTTCGCATTCTTGTTGATATTATGATCCATCCTCCCAGTGGATCCTACGGTTATGCAAAGAATAAACATACTATTAGCAGTATTTTGGTTATCAGTAGAGTTTTCAAACTGCACCACCATAACTGCTTACGCAGTCCTTGTGCAGGTTAAACAAGGAGCAAAACCTCCAATGTGTATTGACCACTTTGCTTTTCCAATTACTTTTAAATATTTGTGACAACCCTCTAAGAGATTCCACTGCATAGCCAGAGTAAGGTATTCCTCCCAGTCACCAGTATAACAGTTAGTCTTTAAAACAGTCTTTCTCAACCTCAACAACTTTTAAGAGGTGTGGACTTCAACTCCCAGAAGTCCCCAATCAGCATGGTTGGCTGGAGAATTCTGGGAATTGAAGTCCACACATCTTAACACTGCCCAAGTTGAAAAACACTGCTTGAGATGAAAGGAACATGAAAGAACATGGTGCCATCAGATGTCATTGGGTGGGTCCTTGCTCTTGAGGAGTTTAGTCTAAAGTGGATTTGGGGGAATAGGGAGGAACACATAACAGCGTGAGACATAGATGCTTTAGCAGAGTCAAATGCACCTTTTCTTCCTGGATCTCTCATTCTTTGTAGAGCACAACGACGATGCTGCTGCTGTCTGTTATATCGTCTCCAATTCTCAGGAATTCCCAGCTGTTTCTGCATTTTCCGAACTTGTATGACTTCTTTCAGTTGTTCTATGCTCTGGCTGATGTTGACTTTAATGATGTTTAGCCACCATATTTTTGGGTGGCCTCATTTCCTTTTACCACTGTTCATTGCAGAACATGGTGCCTTGAAATCCAATAACTGTAGTTCTCCAGTCAAGAGTTTGTCCGACCAATAGTTATAAAGATGCCTTCATGGAGAACAGAATAAGGTTCTTTGAAAGTTGTTCAAGGTATAAGGTGGCTCACTAAAGTGAAAAGAGTCCACTTAAATATATTTTATTCACAGGTCCTTTATCATTCCATTTACAGTTTTACTGTCCTCCAGCAGGTGTCTTTCAAGATGATATGGAATCGTTGTGTATCGTTCATTCACATTTATTGAAAAAGCAGGCTCCTATGACAAACTATCCATCTGGAAGATGGCTATGTTTTCCAAATGTCTTTTCTGTCCTTTCTCCTTATCAAACAAAGGGCAGATTTTTTAAAAAAGAATGGAATAATAGCGCAGTCTTCTTTTGTATTTTTTTAAAATGGGATGCAGTCCCCGATATGTCGGGCAGGTTAATTTATCCAAGTTCAATCCTGCACAACGTTTGAAGTTACAACTGTTTAGTGCCCTGTTAATTTTTAAAAGCACCAATCGTGTTACTATTTACTTTTTGATTCTTTCCAACCCAAAGGAATGCTGCAAAGAAATTATGTAAAGGGACCCAGGGCTTTATCTGTCTGTTCATCAGCAAAATAGGACCAAATTTGGTGTGGGAGAAGTCGTCTGTAAAAGAAAAGTCAAATTTGAAATGATCCAGATCGGGCCAGGATTAAATCCCCTCTATGTATCTCTATGAAAGAGGTAGCTGGACAGCAGCTTGGAATGTCGCCCACTGATCTAAGCCCCGTTTCCTCTTAGTCACATGACCCACAGAAGGGCTAAAAAAAGAATTCTGGAAACCCTTTTCTCATGCTTTTCCTACTTGGTTTAAAAATAAGCACTAGCAAAATAGGCCGCTTAAATGAGAACATTACAGCAGTCTAGTTTCCATTTTAAATTATTTTCCCCCTCTCAGTCCCATCTTAACCTTAAAAAATATACTGTACACTGTGATCATATAGATTCTATACATTTAAGAATGGGTAATCAGGCTGTAACGAATAAGTGCTTAGCATTAAGTACTTGATTTTGTTTTGCTTGGAATTCCCTCCCTACCAACAGCCGCTTCGGTGCCACCCCACTATTACGGGTGGAATAGGATTGGACAAGCATGACTCTGAGAATGTTGAAAATTAAGAAGCTTGTAGCTTCCACCGGAAGAGCCATCATGGTTTAGCTCCAGAAGCCTTGGACTTGGCGTCGGCCTCTGAAGTCACTATTGTGAGTCTCTCCTTTTAGATCCGAGTAACCTTCCTCTCGTTCTAGGGGCAGGACTGCGAGACCAAAGAAATATTCTTTGCTTATTAAGGCTGTCAAAGGCTGCAAATGCAGCAGCAATCAGGTGGAGCAGTGGTGGCGAACCTATGGCACATGTGCCAGAAAGGGCCTGCAGATCCCCTTCTATGGGCATATGTGTCGCTGCCCCAGCCCCGCCTGCCCCTTCAGCCCCCTCCTCACCAGCAGCTCCCCTGGAAGAGAGTCGCCCCTGGGCACGACCCGCATGGAGCAGTGCAGCCAAGGACATGGTAGCTGTGGGCTGTGGAGGTGGTAGGTGGCCCTGCAGGTGGGTGGAGCAGGGGGCGGAGCAGGCAGAGCGGGGGCAGGCAGGGCGGGTTTTGGTTTTGGTATCTAAAAGGTTTGCCATCACTGAGGTGGAGAATTGCACATTTTATACAGGTAGTTCCCGTTTAACGATTGGCCACTTAACAACCATTCAGAGTTACGATGGACTTCAAAATAGATGCTTAACGACTGCTCAAAGTTATGATGGACTTCAGAAAAGCTATTTGTGGCACGTCCGCAAAGTCATGACTGCCGCACCCTACTGTGGTCACATAATTGCATTTTGGGTGCTTGGCAACTGGCTCACTTTTACAATCGGTTGCAGAGTCCTGCGGTCACATGACCATAATTTGCAACATTTTTTGCCATTTTCCAGCAGAAAATGGCAAAAAATGTCTGTTGGAAATGCTGGATTTGCTTAATGACTCCCTGATTCACTTAGTAATTGTGGCTGACTCACATTATGACTGTTGTAAAACAGTAATAGCAAGTTTAGTCACCTGGTGCCTTGGCTTATGACCAAAATTCTAGGCTCCACTGTGGTTGTAAGTTGAGAACTACCTGTACATCACCCATTCTATTCCTGCCCTTCTTCTGCTGGCACAAGAAAGTAACCATTGCCTGGGGGATCGAGTTCAAGATCAGCCGGACTTTCTTTTTCTTGCGCCCTGTCTTCCTCGTCGGTGGGTACAGGTATCTGGCCAGAGTTGTGGCTGTGTTGGGAAAACCTTTCCAGCAAGAGCTGTCTAAGAAACATGACTGGAATGGGTAGAGCAGCCACAACAATCAGGCTAATGAGAAGGCCCAAGGCCCATGGTGGGTATTCCAGCTGCTCCTCCTCTGCCTAGAAAGGAAAAGGAGAGGGGAAATTTTAGATGCTTCTCACTTTTACATCAGGTCTCCCCAGACTGTTTTTCTTAGGAAACTTCTGGGTCTTCCTCCCTGTGTTGGATTTGCTTCGATGTACCTGGAACTGGTACATGCATTTGACTGAACCATGCATTTGTTCAGTTGAATGCATGGCATGGATTAACACCTTCACATGGTGGTTTCGGGTGCTCTTTTTGGCAGCCCCTGATAGCTACCTCTCCCTGGTGTTTGCTAATTCTCATACTTCTCATTGGGAGAGGGAGCTGACGAAGAAACTCCACTTTCTAGGTTTTACGGGGAATGCTCTGGGATATTAGGATCTCAAGGACGCCCAGTTTAGGGTAATCCAACAGCTTGTGGACATAGATTTGCAATACTTAAGAGCCAGACCCAACAAAACCTGCTCCCCTTTGATCTTTAGCCATTCTAATAATTATGGATTGAGGATGGCTTCATATTTCTATACTCTAACCATCCCCAAGTATAGAAGAGTCTTTTCCCTAGCCCGTTTCAATGTCTTGCCCTCAGCATTACTCGATGGGCGATTCAAGAGGCTCCTGTTTAGTGACCGATTATGCCCCTGTGATAGGGCTGAAGTTGAAACTGTGGAGCATGTCTTATCGTACCGCCCTATGTATAACACAGCCATAATTAAATTACTGTCTCTTCTTGGAATTGATCCCTCTGGTTCTAATGTTAGTAATTTGGTCTTATACTGTCTAAGAGGGGATGGCTCCTCCTATATTACTTCTCAGGTTTCTAAATTTCTCTTAAGAGCTGTAACTATTAGAGGAGAACATTGTAATTCCCCTTAGCCAAGGCTTCTGGTGTTAATTGTTTGTGATTATATTTTTCTTGTGTTTTCTTTTGTTGCACTTGTATTTTGGTCTGTGACCGCAAAATAAAAAATTATTATTATTATTACATCAAGCCTCTTCTTTACATTCACTGGTTGCCTCAGGAAGAGAATTCAGTGGAAAAAAGCTCTTTTCCACATGCTACTTCAGAGGTAAGCCATAATATGATGCATTTATTTGGGCTTAACAGTCTGAACACTTGCATTTTTAAAATTCTAACCCACGGTTAAGGCTAAGTGCATTGTGTGAACCCACCCTTTAAATCAAGAGGTCCCCAACCCCTGGGCCGCGGCCCAGTACCGGCCTGTGGGCCATTTGGAACCGGTCCGTGGAAATGACAGGCGAGTGCATGCCCACAGCTCCATTTGTACAAGCAGCGGGCACACATGCCTAGATGTCACATGTACACATGTCCCTACATTTCATTTTTTTGTTTTGTTTTCAAACAGAAGACAAGCATGCCAACTGCAATGCATGAAAAACAAGAGTAGATAAATTCTTACCTTTTCTCTGTTCCAGGCGGTGTAGGTGGGGCGCTTCATGAGCAAGTACACCAAACTCGCTAGCAACAGGCACAACATTGCTGCCAGACTCACAAAGCGCCACATGTAGCTGTAGATTTTCCACGGCCGCCAGCCCAGCATGCTTTCTATGTCATCCAAGAACCTGCAGGAAGAGAAACATAAATGCAAAAGTAGTAGATAGCTGGATGGCGGAAACAAGATTGTTTGCACAAAGGTTACACAAAAATTACGATTAAACCCTACCTACCTTTCTTCAATCTCCCAAGACACAAACAAACTGGAAACAGGCAGAGATAGGAGGGAAGATAAGAGAATTACCTGTCAGCTCCATAGATCCAAGCTATGGCAAAAGCTTCGCCGGCTACAACAATAAGCAGGGGCAAAGTGGCTGAATAGTCATCAAACATAGTCACAAAATAGTTTCCTGAGCCCTGAACAAAAACCAAGCCCAGCAGGAATCCAATCATACAGCACACGACTGTAGGGAGAGAAACAGAAAACACAGTGGCATGAATGGATACCAGTCAGAACTTCTGAATCAATACATTCAATGAGAAATGCCATCAATATTTTTATTTGGCATCACCGGCATAATCAGAGGACTAAAAGAGGCCTCTGGATGCCAATAACCAGCATAAGATACAGGTGGCAGCATTTTTAAAAATAGGAGATGCCATCTCGATCACAGCTAAGAGTAATGTAGGAATGTAACCATTATTTTAATGGCCTATCATGGGGGTCCCCAACCCCTGGTCCGTGGACCAGTACTGGGCCGCAGCATGCCAGCAACCGGTCCGCACAAACAAGCAAAGCCCCATCTGTAGGATGCAGGCAGCACACAAAACCAAGCACTCTCCGGTCCATGGAAAAACCTTTCTACATGGAACTGGTCCCTGGTGCCCAAAAGGTTGGGGACCTCTGGCCTATCAAATATCTACAGCCAGTATATCTCCATCAGGGTCCCTGTTTCAAACAGAGATGTGAGCAAAATGCAAGCTGGCCGAGCTCAGCTACTTTGCTGCACTCTTCTGCAGCTGTTTCTCTGCTGTTGCAGCATAATGGCAGAAGAACTGCAATCCAAAAGAGCTATAGGACCTGGATGAGGTTGACATTTAGGGACAACATGCAGTTGCTTGTTTGTTTAGGCCAGGGGTAAGCAACCTTGTCTCTTTTATGACTCGTGGACTTCAGCTCCCAGAATTCCTGAGCCAGCATGACTCAGCTTGGAAATCTCCCTTTCCCCTCAGCATGGCTGGCTCAGGAATTCTGGGAGTTGAATTCCACGAATCATAAAAAAGCCACGGTTGCCTATCCCTAGTCTAGGCCTAGGTGTGGGACAACTGTTGGTGCTATAAGCCAGAATGGAGAAGACCCTTTGAGATCTCTTGCCCAAGATCCACAAAACATGGAACCAGTCCATATGGAACTGAAGGCCAGACTAGGAGCTCCACAATTGTGTACAGACAATCCTTAACTTACATTTGTTTAGCAACTATAAGAAGTTACAACAGCTTTGAAAAAAAGTGTCTTATGACCGATCCTTGCACTTACGACCATGGTAGCGTCCTCACAGTCATATGTTTTAAATTTGAGCACTTGACAACCAGCATGTATTGATGATGGCTGCGGTGTGCCACGGTCCCACGATCAGCATTTGCAACCTTCCTACCCACCTTCTGACTAGCAAAGTCAGATCTGCTTAACAACTGTGTGATTCACTGAACAACTGCAGTGATTTGCTTAACAAATAGTGGGGAAAAAAGATCCTAAAATTGGACACAACTCACAAGAAGTGCCTTGCTTAGCAACAGAAATTCTGATCCCAAATATGGTCATAACCTGAGGATTACCTGTATGTTAACATTGGAAAAAGCCCAAAATGATGTTCTTTCTCCTGAAAAGTTTTAAAGGGAAAATTCCAATTTCATGGATTTAATATGAAATATACTTGAAGCGTTTGCTGTAAAAGGAACAATGCTTTGTTCTTTGCTTCATTGTGATGGGGAATTTGCATGTCACCTTTTGTTCCTTCAATAACAGGTATCTGCGTGGGTATGGATGCGCCAACCTTCCCTGGTGTCTTGCAGAGCAGAGCACCAGATTGATTTTAAAATGCATTCATTCTCCTCTGCGCTTTGACGTTGGGAAGTAGTAGCATCCAAATTCTGACCTGGCCATCTGAAGTGGCCCCATCAACAATCAACACCATTGGCATCCCATTTTAAATGCAGCCTCTTCTTCCTGGAATCTGAAATCCTATCACAGTGATGGCGAATCTTTTAGATACCAAGTGCCCCCAAACTACCCTGCCTGCCCCCGCTCCACCCCCTGCCCCGTCCACCTGCAAGGCCACCTACTGCCTCCACAGCCCGCCACAGATCACCCAGGTCGCCCTGCAGTGCCATGGTGGCCACACTCTCCGCCTGCGCCCCGCAGCATCATCTGCGTGGGACGGGACGTGAGGGCAGAGTCTTATCCCTGCTGCCTGGTACCATGTCCTTTGCTGCACTGCTCTATGCGGGTCGTGCCCAGGGGCGACTCTCCTCCAGGGGAGCTGCTGGTGAGGGGGCCGTGGGGGAAGGCAGGGCTGGGGAGACAGCATGCGTGCCCACAGAGAGGGCTCTGCATGCTGCCTCTGGCACACATGCCATAGGTTCGCCACCACTGTCCTATCACTTTATTTTGCAGAATATTTTAAATCCTACCACCTGTTTAGCAGCCCATATTCTGCAGAGTCCAAAGCACTGCAATTTAAAATCCTAGCCCTTGTGGCATATATTAATGCAGCCATGAGTTCTGGTCTTGCCCCAGGTGAAGAAAGAAAGACTGCCCCTTTCTGGTACCTGTGAAGAGCGTCCGCCGACGGTGAAGACTGTGGAAGTTGTCCAATAAAGGAGTGATGATTCCTTGCATGTTCCCTAACATGGTGCTTAGCCCTAAATTGAGCAGCATAAAAAAGAACAGTATAGACCAGAAAGGGGCTGTTGGAAACAGGGTCATAGCTTCTGTGAAGGTGATGAAGGCCAGCCCTGTCCCTTCCACACCCTGAGGGAGAAAGAGAGAGAAACATTGACAATAGGAGCTATAGCAAATGTCAAATTTAAAGCAGATGGAAAACTTTTAATAGAGTCCGTTCCCCCAAGTCTGCTGATGATGTTACCTAGTTTGGTAACTAAATGTTCAGAAACTACCGTATTTTCCGGCATATAAGACGACTTTCTAAACCATGAAAATCTTCTCAAAAGTCGGGGGTCGTCTTATACGCAGGAAAATATGGGTACTTCGAAAGAGTATATGCGACTCAACGATCAGAACCGAGTATAGTTCGAATACAAGCTATAAAATGAAATGATCACCCTTAAAAATGCTACTCCAGGAAGCATATGGTATGCTTGGAATTGTAGTCGGATTTCTGAATAAGAAACAGTCTCGGTGGGGCCATGGGATGTCGGGAATTGTAGTCGACCTTCGGTCTTGGTCGATGTCCTCGGCAGCAAAAGCCGGGCCATGGCGGCTGCGGGCAACTCTAGCGGGCAGTCCAAGGTGGCGCCCAGCGTAGATTTTGATCATAGCTGCTCCGACAGCGTCGAATACCTGACTTTGAACTTCGGGCCTTTTGAGACGGTGCACCGGTGGCGCCGCCTCCCGCCCTGCGATGAGTTCGTCGGGGCTCAGTGAGGCGTCTCTGGGATCTGCGGGGGGCTCGGCTTGGTGTGGGGCTGAACAGTGTGTAGGAGCCACCGGCGAAATGCCAGACCGGAGGGCGGTTTAGGGAAGGGATGTAAACCAAGGTCGTCTTCTCTTTTCTTTCCAGCCGTAGCAAGCACACGGTGGTCGCTTATCAAGATGCCATCTACGTCTTTGGTGGGGATAACGGGTGAATCTCCTTACGTTCCTCCCTTTGGTTGTAGCCCATCCTGTCCCCCCCGGCAAAACAAATGCTGGCTCCTTTTGCGCTTCCCCGCTCCCTAACATGGCTCACTTTAATAAGAGCACACATAGTTTTTCCCAGACGAAGTTTTCTAAAGATGAGGATGCAGAGATTGTGATGGGAGTAAGAAGGATTATTTAGGAAATAATGTCCATTATGCAATTCTTACCATGAGAAAGAAAAGAAAGAAGCAAAGGAAACTAGAATGTTTACAGTGATGGAGTTTCCTCTTAAATATTGCCTGTCGTGAAAATATTGCTAGGCAGAGCACTTTCTTTTCTCACTGCATATTAAAAAAAAAGCGTGGGCATAAAAAGGCAAACTGGACTTGAGTAGTTTGCAAGATATTTCTAACCACTTAAAACTGGGATGGGAATCTTTGGATCCTCTGGCGACAGAATCCCAAAGGATTTCATGAGGCAACTGGACTTTCTTGTTTTTCTTTGAAGACCTGGATGACTGAGAATCTCCATAGACATCTGGGTGCAGAGGTTTCTCTCCCCTGTTTGAGATGTGTTAGCTCTATTTAGTCTGCTCCATGACTTTCTCTTTAGGAAAACACTTAAGGGGCCAAAGACAGTGATGATCGCCTTGGAATGCCTAACTCTCCTCCCTTGAAGAGTGCCATGAGTACCAAAAGTAATGAATACAACTATAAGCCTCCCGGCTTTTCCTTCCCCCTTCCCCCCAATCTTTCTCCCCAAGAAAAGACTGGGATAAACCATCTCATGTGACTCTATGCAGCTTGCAGTAAAATACATAAAATGCACAATATAAAAATAAACCAGTCATCCACACAGCCACTAGCAGGCTCTATCATGCCCAGGGCCCAGGTTTTAGGCACAGGAACCAAGTTTTCAAGGTCTTGAAAAAATATGAATATAATTCAACTGAGTGGAGATTGTGATCATATCCAATATATCAATGTAATATGTAAGCTAAAAATTGTGACAGGAATATCCAAGAGTCAATCTAGTAGAATATGAACAGTCTATTTGTCTGAATTTCCACTTAAATTGGAAATGTCTCCATTCAACATGACAGTAATAGATCTTTAGCTAGAATATATATATTGTTTCAGAAAATGCATGCTTAAGGATTTACCAACATATCGTATTTTCCGGCGTATAACATGACTTTCTAAACCATGAAAATCTTCTCAAAAGTTGGGGGTCTTCTTATACGCTCAGTCGTTTTATACGCTGGAAAATACGGTATATTGAAACAAGTGCGGAGAGCAAACCACTGCTAGAGTCTTCCCCAATCTGGATCTCTTCCAGATGTGAGGACTTCAAGTTTAAGACTTCCCCAGCCATCATTCCTCTAATTCAGGGGTAGGCAACCTTGGCTCTTTTATGACTCGTGGACTTCAATTCCCAGAATTCCTGAGCCAGCATGGCTGACTCAGGAATTCTGGGAGTTGAAGTCCACGAGTCATAAAAGAGACAAGGTTGCCTATCCCTACTCTAGTTACACATCCAGAAGACACCCAATAGAGCAGGGGTCTTCAAACTTGGCCCTTTTATGACTCGTGGACTTCAACTCCTAGAATTCCTCAGCCAGGCATGCCTGGCTGAGGAATTCTGGGACCTGAAGTCCACAAGTCATAAAAGGGCCAAGTTTGAAAACCCCTGCGATAGGGCATCTGTAGAATTCTGAGAGTTGAAGTCCACAGATCTTAAATTTACTAAGGCTGAGAAACACTGTACTAAACCAAAAGGTTATGCTTTAACTGGCAAGTCATAATAAATGCAGGGCCATGTCTGCTCAATAGCTTGATTTCTTTTTACCCCAAATGCAGCTGTTTGCTTCTTGGGATTGATTTCAGCCCATGACTGGGTGCACACACATCATTCTAATCCATAACCTTGCTATTTTGGTTTTGGTGAACTCAGCCACTGGGTTTTATAAATCTTCGTTAACGGTTTGGCATGATCTATAGTTAGCTGGATTTGTGAATCCAGCCCTTGCCTATCCATTCACCTTATTCATTTCATCTTCTACACGACAGTCACCAACTTTCCACTTCTGCAATTGTTTCTTTGTTTCATCCCATTCATCCTGATACCAACTGCTGTATTGAGCAGGTGAAAATTGAGACAGGTTTGCAGGAAGTACATCTAAAAAGGAACCATTCTTCACTAGATCGGTCAAAAGATTTGCATTTCTGTGAAACAAAACATATAGCACATGTAGAAAGATTAGAAAACATCTGAACTCTCAAACAGAATATAAAAACCCAAACTCAGCGACCTGGAAGACATTAGACAAAGTTTGGGCAACCAAGGCTTGGAGGCAACATTGGAATTTCAAGAATAAGTTGGGTGACAATGCTGGAGTTTGAGGTCCAACACATCTGGAGAGTTCCAGGTAGAATTTAAACTGTTGCAAATTAATTGGTGGAGTGGTTAGAATACAGTATTGCAGGCTAACTCTGCCCACAGCCAGGAGTTTGACTCAGCCTTCTTTCGAGGTTGGTAAAATGAAGACCCAGATTGTTGCGGGCAATATGCTGACTCTGTAAAACTGCTTAGAGAGGGCTATAAAGCATTATGGAACAGTACTGTATAAGTCTAAGTCAGGGATCTTCAAACTTGGCCCTTTTATAATTTGTGGACTTCAACTCCCAGAATTCCTCAGTCAGGCATGCTGGCTAAGAAATTCTGGGAATTGAAGTCCACAAGTCATAAAAGGGTCAAGTTTGAAGACACCTGGTCTAAGTGCTATTGCTATTTTTATGACCATATGCTTACCTACAATAAACAATTAATATACACCAATGTGTTTTATGGACTAGTCACTGACTCTACTAAGGAATGTCCAATAAGAAATGAAAAAGTATGGTCAGAAGTAACCATAATAATAATAATCTGCCAGTCTATCTCACCTCCTTTACATGGATGATCTGAAGCTGTATGGAAAAACACCATCTGAAATAGAATTGCTGCTCAACAGTTTGCATAAACTGCCAAGATGATGCAATGGAGTTTGGACTGAACAAATGTGTCACTCTTACCATCAGCAAGGAAAAATAGTGAAACGTGAAAGAATCAAGAAGCTCTATGGAAATAACATCAAGAGTCTGGATGAAGATCACTATACTTGGTTATCCTTCAAGCTGATACCATGAAGCACATTGGAGTCAAGAAGGTTAAACATGAATACATCAAGAGAGTGAAGACCTTAAAGTCCAAACTTAGTGGAGGAAATACCATCAAGACAATCAACCCCTGGGCAACTCCAGTCATTAGATACACAGCTGTAATAATGGACTGGACTCAAGCAGAACTAAAAGTTCTGGCTAGAAAGACCAGAAAAATAATAACAATGAATCATGCCCTTCATTCTCACAGTGATGTTGACTACTTTGCTAGGAGCAATTATCACCAGACAACTGAAGAAGAGAAAAAGGCAAGAGTATTTGAAGGACAGTGAAGAAGATATTGAAGCTAGTACAACATGAAGGTTTGCTGAATACCAAAGATCAAACTGGCCTATAAGAAAGACCTGATGAAGAATAGAAAAGAGACTTTGAAAGGCAAAGTATTACATGGCCAGTAGACAAAAAACACAGCAGGCAAAGGAGATAACCTGGTAATGACTAAGAGCAGGAAAGTTGAAGAAACGGGCAGAGAGGCTAATTCTAGCTATACAAGATCAAGCCTGAAGAACACAAGCATACAAAACAGAATTGAGAAGACAGCAACAGACAGCAAGTGCTGCCTCTGCAAAGAAGCTGAAGAAACAGTAAGCAACCTAGTTAGCTGCTGCAAGATTGCAGAGACTGATTACAAACAATGGCTTGGCAAAGTAGCAATGAGTGCATTGGAGTATCTGCAAGAAATATCATTTGCCTGCAAACAAGAACTGGTGGGACCCCAAAATAGACAATGTAATAGAAAATGAAGAAGCTAAAGTACTCTGGGACTTTTGAATTCAACCAGAAAATAAGGTTGGGTAAACACTCCAAATATAACAATTGTTGATAAGAATGACAAAAAAGTCTGAAGAGTGGACATGGCAGAAACTGGAGACAGAACAGAACAGAAAGAACTGGGGGAAAAATTCATAAAATACAAAGATCTGCAAATAAAAGTAGAATGTGTGGCAAAAGGAAGCAAAGATAGCACAAATAGTGATAGGCACCTTGGGTGCAATCCCAAAAAATCTGGAGCAGTGCTTGAACACCATTGGAATTTAAAAAATCCATCAGTCAATTGCAAAAAACAGCTTTACTCAAAACAGCTTATCTCTTATATCCTGCAACAATACCTTTTTAACAGCATCAAATACCATCTGCCTATCCCAAACCTTTGGGAAGTTTCAATAGGTGGATAAAAATGCCAAATGTGGTCTAAACATCTGGTTGACTGTGCAATGAACCATAATAATGATAATAATAATAACAACAATAATAATAACAACAATCTAATTATTCCCAGGCATAACTGAGAATAATACCTAATAATATCCAGGCATCTCAAACTGTGAAATGCTCTGCCTCCCTCATAAGCAGAATGAAGGGGACAAATTCAGTCAAGTCATTTTAACTGCAAGATAGGTAGATGCCACGAGAAGGAGGGATGGCTAAAAGATTCTGATGACAGATTTTTTTTTGGAGCAAAGAATGAGACAGGTACAGGTGCACGCAGGTGGCCCAGTCAACCTACGATCTACCTTTTGCTGTTACATCCCTCTTCGGTACTTGAAAAGGGGTATCATATCCCCACTCAATCCTTTCTTGTAGGACTTAACTGTTTGATCTCATGACAGCAAAGCTATAGCACTTGACACTTATATATCGCTTGTATGTAAGCATATGGTCATAAAAATAGCAATAGAACTTAGACCAGGGGTCTTCAAACTTGACCCTTTTATGACTTATGGACTTCAACTCCCAGAATTCCTCAGCCAGCATGCCAAAGGGCCAAGTTTGAAGATCCCCGACTTAGACTTATATACAGTACCGCTCCATAGTGCTTTACAGCCCTCTCTAAGTAGTCTAGAGTCAGCATATTGCTCCCAACAATCTGGGTCCTCATTTTACTGAGCTCGGAATGATGGAAGGCTGAATCGACCTTGAGCCGGTCAGCTTTGAACTCCTGGCAGTCAGCAGAATTAGCCTGCAATGTTGCATTCTAACCACTGCACCACCAGGGCTCTTGATCATGCTTGTTGCCCTTTTACCAACAGTTTGATGGACACTAACCTTTCAACACACTTGTGTGCCAACACATTGGCTCGGAAACCCAGCACGGCAAAAACCACCAGTGTGGCGAGCACCGAGGTAAGGAAATTGATGCCAGACACAAGCAACCCATCAATGTGGCAGTTGTTATTCTGAGGATTGTAGCTGGAGTAAGCAATGATGGTGCCGAAGCCCAGACCCAGGGCAAAGAACACCTGAGTGGCAGCCTGACGCCAGACCTGCATATCTCCCCAAATGGACAGCTTGGGGGTGGAAAAAGATAAGAAATTGTGAGAAAGGGACAAAAGGCATCATTTCACGTTTCTGCATCTCTGGCCCTCCTAGATCTTTTCTCATTTGCTGAAAGGTGTAAAAGCTCAAGATACTTTGGTGATCTCACGATTGCACTACTGCAGTGCATTCTACACAGGATTGTCCTTGAAGACTATTTGGAAGCTACATATAGTCCAGAATGTGGCAGTATGGACAGGCCCATGTAATACCTCTGCTTTGTGAGGTGCACTGCAAGCCAGTAGGCCTCTGAATGCAATTCTGAATGGAGTTCAAGTGCTGGTTATCATTTATAAAATCCTATAGGGCAGATGGCTGGGGAATTCTGAGAGCTGAAGGCCACGCATCTTCAAGGTGCCAAGGTTGAGAAACATTGCTCTAAGGCAGTGGTTCTCAACCTTTTTAATGCCGTGACCCCCAACCGGTCGTAAGTCGAGGACTACTCAACTGGTGCAGCACCATTTGCAGAATGGGACTTTTGGCGGGCTCAGAAGGGCAGAGACAGCCTGGACAATTCCTATTGGCTTTTGAAAGCCAATAGAATTAGACTCTATTCAAGAGAGTCTATTCTATTGGCTTTCAAAAGCCAATAGAATAAAAGGGAGTAGCACAGCTAAGGAAAAGGGGAAAAAATGGCGGACTGTGTTGTTTGGCGACCCCCGTGAAATGGTCCCGACCCACAGGTTGAGAACCACTGCTCTAAGGGATAGAGACTGGATCTTTGAGGGATTACCTATTTCTTATAGTTTCTGCCCATTCCATACAGCCTGACAGAGCCAGCATACTCCAAGTCCCATCAATTAAACAATGTCATCTGATGGGATGCATCTCTGACATGAGACCTGCACTACAGAATACTATCCCAACCTAGGTTTATTTGATCACCACCTTGGAACTGTTTAAGTAAACCTTTAAACCCTTACACAGTCCTCAGGATTTAGGTTAGAATGGGTGTTGAATCCCTTGGGGGATGTTTTCTTATTCAATTAATTTTAATTTTTTCTGGACTTCCTTTCATTTTTCTGTATAGCAATGGCACTGAAAAAAGTGACTTACAACTAGTCTTTGTTGCTGCAATCGGTATGTATTTACAGCAGTTCTAGAAGTCATGTGATCGCCATTTGCAACCTTCACAGCTGACTTCTGACAAGCAATATCAACGGGAAAGCCAACTGACTTAAGGATTCCGTGATTCCCTTAACATAGACCTCCCCAATCTTTCCGGCTTGGCAGCCTGGAAGGGAGGAGCATGCGCAAATGGGCTGCTGGCATCCATGCAAATAGGCTGCTAGCACCTTTGCGCATGCGCAAATGGGGCCACTAGCATCTGCTAGTGGCAAGTGGGGGGCCTCGCCAGCTATTCCCACAGCCTGGTGGCCAATAGGCCACAGCCTGATACCGGGCTGCGGACCATAAGCCAATCACAACTGCAGTGATTGGCTTAACAGCTGTGGCAACAAAGATTATAAAATCAAATGTGACTCACTTAACAACTACTTTGCTAAACAATAGAAATTGTGGTTCCAATTATGAATGTAAATTGGGGACTACCGATGCTTCAAAATCAGGATGGAGCCCAAAGCGGGAGTCTCTTACTTTAGGGGTGAACATGATCCTGATTCCATCAGCTGCCCCTTCTAGCAGCAAAGCACGTACAAGGAAGCACAAGAGAACCACATAAGGGAACAGTGAGCTGAAATACAAAACCTGGGATGGAGGGAAGATATGATGGAAATGAATATAAAAACCAAGGCATGCTGAGACTCCCACTGGCAGAAGTTATTGGTACACAAGGGGAACATTTGTCTTTTATGTTTCTGTAGCTTCTTTCCCACAAATGTATTTATTTATTAAATTTATATAGCTGCCCAACTTATACACAGTGACTCTGGGCAGTGTACAACATTAAAAATCCACACTTAAAATGTACAATTCCCCTCATTCAATCTATAATCCAAATTATTTGCTTCCCTTGTTCTACCTCCTGTTCCCCAACTCCCATTGTCCCTGAAATCCCAAAGCATATGCAAATTTCCTCAGCCCAAAGATCAACTAGTGGAGATGAAAGTTTGGTCCACCATATCTGGAGGCTGCTAGGCTGAGGAAAAGAAGAAACAATATGCAAGGTAATGGTTGAGATGTCCATTACAGGTGGTCCTCAACTACACTATCATTTAGAGACCATTTCAAATTACAACAGACCTCCCCAGGCATACCTAGCCTGGATTTGAAGTACTTATCCCCTCCTCTGGATCAGAGGAATGTTGTGGACATAATTTACTTGGACTTCAGTAAGGCATTTGATAAAGTAGATCACAACCTACTACTTGATAAGATAGAAAAATGTGGGGTAGACAGAAATCACCACCAGATGGATCCGTAGCTGGCTGACCGGCCATACTCAGCGAGTGGTCCTCAATGGAACTGCATCTATATGGAGGGAAGTGTGTAGTGGGGTGCCCCAGGGCTCTGTTCTGGGCCCAGTACTCTTCAACATCTTCATCAACGATTTGGATGAAGGGATAGATGGGGAACTCATCAAATTTGCAGACGACACCAAGCTGGCAGGAATAGCCAACACTCCAGAAGACAGGCTTAAGATACAGAAGGATCTGGACAGACTTGAACACTGGGCACTAACTAACAAAATGAAATTCAATGGTGAAAAAAGCAAGGTTCTACATTTAGGCAAGAAAAACCAAATGCACAAGTACAGCATAGGTGGCACCATGCTCAATAGTAGTAACTGTGAGAGGGACCTCGGAGTCCTAGTAGACAATCACCTAAATATGAGCCAGCAGTGTGCTGCAGCTGCCAAAAAGGCCAACACAGTGCTAGGCTGCATTAACAGAGGGATAGAATCAAGATCAAGTGAAGTATTAATACCACTCTTCAATGCCTTGGTAAGGCCACACTTGGAATACTGCATCCAGTTTTGGTCACCGTGATGTAAAAAAGATGTTGAGACTCTAGAAAGAGTACAGAGAAGAGCAACAAAGATGATTAGGGGACTGGAGGCTAAAACATATAAGGAACGGTTGCTAGAATTGGGTATGTCTAGTTTAATGAAGAGAAGGACAAGGGGGGACATGATAGCAGTATTCCAATATCTCAGAGGCTGCCATAAAGAAGAGGGAATTAAGCTATTTTCCAAAGCACCTGAAGGCAGGACAAGAAGCAACGGGTGGAAACTAATCAAGGAGAGAAGCAACCTAGAACTAAGGAGAAACTTCCTGACAGTGAGAACAATTAATCAGTAGAACAGCCTGCCTCCAGAAGCAGTAAATGTTCCAACACTGGAAGTTTTTAAGAAGAGACTGGACAGCCATTTGTCCGAAATGGTGTAGGGTTTCCTGCCTGAGCGGGGGGTTGGACTAGATGACCTCCAAGGTACCTTCCAACTTTATTGCTATTACTATTACTATATATATTGGATGCTCGGCAACTGGCCCACTTTACAGCAGTTTGCAGTGTCTTGAGATCATATAATCATTGATTTACAGCTTTTTTCTTGGAAACCAGCATTTACTTCGTTTTCAGCAAAAACAAAACAAAACAAACAAAAAAACCCCCCACCCACTGCGAACCACAGATTCACTTCATGACCACTGCGTTGACTTAATGAACACCTAACTGCCACAAATCAAATCGTAAAATCAGGCCGGGTCACATGGTGACCCAGTTAGCTATGGCTTATGGTCATAATTCTGGGCTGAATTACAGTTGTAAATTGAGGATGACCTGTATGAAGTCTCTGATGGAATATCTTTGTATAAAGGCAGAAGAGTGGACACAACTCACCTTGCCTGATGATTTAATGCCTTTGATCATGGCGAGACAAACCAGCATCCAAGCAGCAAAGAGGCAGCCAGCAAGGGCTGGGTCAAGACCCCCACTCTCCTCTATGGAGTTGGTAATGTGCAAGGCCTTTCGGTTCCAGAAATAGATAGTGGGAGAACTGTCCGTGCATTCAGATTCTGTGACTGGAGAGAAAGGGAGGAAGAGAGAGAGAGAGAAAAAGAAAAAGAGAGAACGAGAGAGAGAGAGCGTGTTAGGGTTAGGGGAAATGACCAGCTTTTCCTTTTCCAATGATGCTGTAATAACAAAAACAGGACACTTATTTTGGAATATTGTGGATTAAGTTTATGTTTGTCGAGTATATCTAAAATATATTGATTTCTAGAATACCTCTCCCCCAAATGGATTTTTTTCTCATTTCATGGCAGTTCCATATTATTTTAGAACTGCAAAGATTACAAAACTGATTTTAGCACAGTGCAGCAAATATGAGCAAAGGGCAGGTTTATTTGCCCAGCCATTTTTTTCTTTCACTAACTCTGGCCAACCAAATATATAAATGCAGAAGCATTTTCAGAAAAGACCATGAGTGTTTTTCCACTCTTGAGGCTTGTATCCTCCAGTCTTCAGTTCCAGCACTAACTGTTTTCTCTTGAAATGTACTATAATTTGATGCATTCAAATGTATTTTCCCAAACTACAGGCATAGAGTGTCTTTCTGCATGCAGAAAGTCTAAATTTCATATTATAATCTATCTCTTGACAGTAAGTACTGTTGGGAAAGATTCTTCTCTGGAAATCTCAAAGACTGATACTATTTGGGTGTAAGACACTGGATGGGCCAACTGCCTATTTGGTCTAAGGTAGCTTTCAATGTGTCTTAAGTTCTTGCAATTTTTTTTAAACAATTTAAGTGCTGTGTCAGCTTTCCAGGGTGAACAGATAAAATATGTTGAGCCTTTTCACAAAAGTAATCAACTATAATCCAAATTTCTCTTCCAATGTTTGCTCTTATTACTGCTTTTCAGAATCACTGAGAAGTGTTAATGATAAATTGTTCTAATGCCTGTAAGCGTGAAAGTTTCTACTTTTATGTATTTCAAAAGAAATATAGTTTGTTATAAAGAAAGCAGAGAAAATCTTATATGGAATATTGTAAAGTCTTCTTCCTTTTTCAGACAGCAGCTAGCTAGGTAACACCCAATTAAACTAAATTCCTTCCATTTCCCAAGTACCCAAAACAGACAATTTATTTTATTTATTTAATGTATGGCAGTTGTAGATTGAAAGCTGGTAGTCTATAATATTATTACAGAGTAATAGTTTGGCTGCCTTAAGAAGGGAAAGTTTAACAATAATAAAATAGTAATAATAAAAGAGAACCCATAAATATCATGGAAAAGACTGCTGACTAATATAGCAATGTGTTTACTGTATATATCTGAACGACAAAGATCTGCATGACCACTAGATGGCAGCAACTGTAGTTTTTGTATCACTTTCATCTTCAATACTGTAATGCAGTTTCTCACTAGACTTCATTTCCCAGAATTCCCTGTAACCAGCATGTTGATGAGAATATTGTGAGAGTTGAAGTCCATTCATTTTAAAGTTGCCATGACTGAGAAATATTATTCTAATGGTTGCCTAGATTTTTGCAATCCAGGTATCACAGCCCTTCTGGGGAATCACTGTTCATTTACTTAGACAATTTGCAAAGGAGGATATATAGTGTAGAAACTCTTAATTAACTCCTTCAGCATCGAGGAGATGACGTTTCATGCGATTGGGTGGATAAACTTTTTAAGAAATGAAGTTTAATACCTGATTATCTTTTAAGAATTCAAAATATTGCTGTGTCCCAGCCCAGTCTACTGGTTTATTTACAATCTTCCACTCCTATATTCTTTCATGGTAGATTAGCAAGATTATACTGTATATGCCTACCTTATACCAGACCAGGAGTCTGTCTCTTTTTTGTTCACAGACTTATAGCAGCTCTCTGTGATTTAAAAGTGTTTTTTCTCAGGCCTATCTAGAAATTTTGTGTCAAAAACATGTGCTTTCCCTTTAAGCTAAAGCATGGTGTCCAACCTTTTAGCTCCACATACTGAATAAAGAAAAATTGTCTTAGGCCGCCTATACAGTATGTAATATAGTTAATGTATATAAATCACATAATAATGTTAAAAATTTACAATCTTGCAGGAATGCATTACTAGCTGTCCAGGGCCACAAGTGGCCAATGGACTAGACACATCTGAATTACAGTCAACCTATAATGGTCAAACCATAGTTGGGATTTATCTACTACTCAACCAACTCCTGATATTTTGATATCAGTATTTTAAAGAGCCTTAGGAGAAGTTGAAACTTGCCATAAGTTGGGAGGGAAAGAGCTGGTTAAACCATTGTTCCACCATACAGTTCAGGGTTGGGAATTGGGAACTGTGTGCAGGAATCCTTGTTAAAAGCAGCATAATTCTGTGATATAGAGATGCCACAAAACCCAAAAAAGCCACAAATGCCTATTGTTTCCTGTGTTCCGACTTACCTGCACCTGTTTCATTTTCTGCTCCTGGGCAATCACTCCACGGAAGGGGAAACTGGAAAGAATTACCCAAGTAGAAAAGACTCCATGCCATAATGACATTATAATATAGGGCAACAAAAGAACACACCTAAAAGGAAAGCAAAATGAATCAGTGTTCCATATTGTCCCTGGACATGGATTTGATGAAGAGGAACCATTTGCCTACAAACTACAGGTGATGTCAAAAACGTTTGAAAAGAAATGTGTTTAGAACATGCTAAACTTCTTCTGAAATGTTCCTTTTCTCCAAAATAGAGACGTGCAACTTTTTTTCAGACTGAGGGAATGGCCATTCTAAACTTTTCCAGGTTGAGGATTTCGCTCCAAACCGTAGGGAATAGTCCAAAATAAAAACTAAATTAGGTTTGATTTCATCTATGTTTTCATTAATTCAAATTAAATATTTTTAATAAAAGAGTTCACCAGTCATACATTCACTTCCTTCTGCCACATTACAAACAATCACATATTTGAAGACGCAGCGGTCGCAAAGCAAGCCCATTGTTTGCTATGGGTTGTTTTTTGCTAGAATCTGGAAATAAACGTCAGATTTCAGCAAAAAAAAACTTTTCAAATTGTGGTCGTGTGATCGTGGGACACCACAAATGGCTCTAAATGCAGGCTTATTGCTGAGCACACCCAAAATGTGTTTAAATGACCACGGGGAATCTTCCTGGCTATTGGAACTTCAGAAGTAGGTTGAGTGGCCACTGTAATTTTGAACTGTTGCAAAGCAACCAGTTGTAAGTCAATAACTATTTGTAGTCTCTTTTTTAGACCATAAGAGTATGCTTGTAGGTAGCAGAGGGTAAACATTTCCACCCAATAGATAAGATAACCTTTATTGTCACATTTTTCTATGGACACAGTGGCACATAAAAAAATGAAATTCTGATATCTGATCTCAAAAGTATGTATGTACATAGGTACACACACACATATAAAGTACACATATGCACATACACATACACATGATATATATATATGTGTGTGTGTGTGTGTGTGTGTGTGTGTGAGTGTGTTTTCTGAGGTTTTCGCGGGTGTTTGTATGTAGGTCTTTGGTTATTCGGGTTTTCTCCTGCGTAAAATTGAAAGTGTCTTGGCGACGTTTCTACGAAGTCCCATTCATCATCTTCAGGCTGGTGTTTTCGGCTTTGTGCTTCTAGGAGCATTTGCTCCTAGAAGCATGAAGCCAAAAACACCAGCCTGAAGATGATGAATGGGACTTCGTCAAAACGTCGCCAAGACACTTTCAATTTTACGTGGGAGAAAACCCAAATAACCAAAGACCTACACACACACACACACACACACACACACACACACACACACAGAGAGAGAGAGAGAGAGAGAGAGAGAATACATTTAGAATACGTTAGCAGAAAAAAAGAGTCTTGAGAGTTAACAAGATTAATACTATATGGTATAAAGCTATTAGGAATCTAGTTGTTCTGCTTCGCATGCTACAAAGCCATCTCCCAGGAGGTAACAAAGAAAACGTGTCATAGGTTAGGGAAGAATATAGGCTGTAAGCTGGCAAGATGGGAAGCAAACAAATTTTCATAAATAAATAAATAGGTTAGAAGAATCAAAAGTTCCTTTTGATTACTAGAAAGATTAACCAATTAATATTTTTCTGACCGGTTGGTTTATTCTGAAGGGCTTTCCCCCCCTCTTTTTTTTTAAGACATATAAATAAATATCAGACTCAGAAGAACAGTGACACAGCACTCACCACACAGCTTGCAAAGCCGATGCCTACTAGGCGGGGGCTGATGTGCTTCCAGACACCAATGCTGCCCTGTCGGATAATCTGCCCGGCTGCCAGCTCCAGGAAGAAGAGAGGGACCCCAATGACGAGGAGGAGGACCAGGTATAGCAGCAGAAAAGAACCTGTCCAGCAAAAGGCAATATTTTAGGGCAGTGATGGCAAATCTTTTAGAGACCGAATGCCCAAACTGCAACCCAAAACCCACTTATGCATTGTCGAGTGCCGGGTGGGTGTGGCCCATTGGCTGGGTGTGGCTGCGGTGGTAACGGCAGACTGAGTGGGACTAAAAAGTTCAATCAATCAATTCCAACTTTGCAAGATCTTTTTTTTTTCCCACGAGAAGTTGAAATTGACTGATTGGTTGAACCTTTTTTTTTGTACACGGCAGCGGAAGCCTAAAGCAAAAAGGTTTTATAACACCCAGCTGAAGGCCTAGGACTGGGGCGATGGCGCTCGTGCCCACAGAGAGGGCTCTGCGTGCTGCCTCTGGCATCCGTGCCATAGGTTCGCCACCACTGTTTTAGGGATTCCAGTCATTATGGCAATTATTTCACAAATGACAGTCTCCTGAATCACGCTGAACTAAGGGGAAAGATGACGTGCCAGTAAACTAGTAGAGTTTTTTGGTTTTTTGTATGTGTCCTTTTAAGTCAGTTTTTGACTCCTGGTGACTGCCTGGACAAATCCCTGCAATTTTCTTGACAAGATTTTTTTGCCACTGATTTCTTCCAAGGGTTGACAAAGAGTGAAATGGCCTAAGTCACCCAACTGGCTTTGTGCCTAAAATGGGACTAGAACTCAGGGTCTCCTGGTTCCTAGGTTAGTGTCTTAATCACTACACCAAACTGGCTGTAAGCAGATTAAGCAAACCCCAAATCTTGGCCTTGATTGCTAAAGAATGGATCTTCTCCTTTAAATATGCTGTTGGCCTTCATTACTCTTAAGAGACGAATACAGTTTATGGATCACATTCTGAAGGTCTCTTGCATTTATGTCTCTGTGCTACTGTTTTTTCTTAAGCACCTGGCAAGATTATTTAACCAGACATTTATACCCCTTAAAGCACGAGTCCCCAATCCCTGGGTCGCAGCCTACTACCGGGTCATGGCCTGTTCAGAACTGGGTCACGCAAGCAATACTTGCATATGAAGCTCCATTTGTGTGAGTAGTGGGCTGGGTATGCATGCGCCTGCCGCTCACACAGAACCATCCCTTCTCCCTCCCCCATCAGGCCGCCAAGCCTGAAAAATTGGAGACCACTGCCTTAAAGTGCTGAACCATTTTAAACCTGATGAAATGGATCACATGTATGATAGATTTGTTGTTACCATCAAAAGCAGATTGTTTAAAAATATTGTTTCCAAATGCTTTAGAAAGGGAGATAATTTTCTTCACTGTCAAAAGGATCAACTTCACACAATACTGTTTCGAAAGTGAGCGTGTGGTGGCCTTGTAAGCTTGTCCTGGGAAACTAGATAACTAAAATTGTGAAAATCCAGATTCTCCAATTCTCCTGCCAGAAAAATAAGTATCTAAATGGTAGAGAATGTATTCTGTAATAAATGCACCACTTTGGTTGCCTGCCTGCTTTCGGCCAAACTGCTAAAGTGGTCTATTTGCTATTTCTCAAATGTGTAGTTTAATTCAGAAAATCATTCCTTTTCCATTTACAGGGAGTATGTATCTAAGTTTTAGATGTTATATGCATATACAGTAGTAAAAGGATAATCAGAATCTTATGTGAGAAGCCATAATTTCTTAGAAAAAAGGGAGAGAATCTTGCAGTAGAATCCAAGTCCCAAATTTGGCAGAACTGCCCAAGTCAACTCACCTCCACCATTTTGATGACACAGGTAGGGGAAACGCCAGACATTGCCGAGTCCAACAGAAAAGCCAACCTGGGCGAGGATATACTGAGCCTTTGATCCCCAGGTAGGGCGAGTAGCAGATTCCTCAGGCAGAAGATCTTGATTGGATTCACCCTCAGGATCTCCAGCTATTTCTAGGTCTGCTTTGGATTTCTCCATCAAGGGAGACAGTATGAGACTCAAACACACCAATGTCACACTGTGATCTGGAACTTATGCTTCTTGCAAATTCACACACCTCAATACTAGTCTCGATTAGAAATGTACATAGCAGATCTTCTTTCCCGATCTAGAACTCTTTTCAAGTGTAGTACTAGAAAAAGTTTAACTATACGGTTCTAAATGTATGGAATCTTTGCACATTGACAATAGGTCCCTTATTTGCTAGGAAATGTACGCTCACACGTCAGGTACTTAGTATACACAAACAGCTTTTTGCTCTCACACTGTCATGCAACTACAGAGGCATTAGCATGTCCTAAATATCTCTCAAAAAATTGTGGGTTTTTTTTTTGTGTGTGTGTGTGTAGTATTAGCACAATATAAGATGTTTTTGATTATACATTTAGCAGGTATTTCAATAGACTTATCTATCTTCAGTCATAATGTGTTTTGGGCCACTGTATACACCATTCATTAATAGCAGAACTTTAAGTGAGAGAAAAATACTATTATTTGGCTTAATGAACTGCACATATAATATGATTTATGTACACACACATGCTGGAGGATGTTCTTCAAGAAGCCAATCTAGAAAACAAACAGCAACAAAAAGATTAAACGAATGGACAACCCACACATTTGTTGAAATGTTAAGATTAATTCACAAGCCACAATCCTGGCTCTAAAACACCAATTTGGAAAGACAGAAACATTCCACAAATTCAGAGAATTCAAGATGCTTCCTCCCTTTGTATCAGTGTTCCTTAACCATGGCAACTTTTAAAGATGTGTGGACTTCAACTCCCAGAATTCCAAGCCAGCATACTGTCTGGGAAATTCTGGGAGTTGAAGTCCACACATCTTAAAGTTGCCAAATTTGAGAACCATTGTTCTATATGTTTAAGGATCATTTCCTCAGCTCAGTGTGGATGTAGTTTGCAGGATGAAAAATGGAAATTGGGCCTCTTTCTTCCCAGTAAATGGGAACAGCAAATGGAAAATCAACTTGGTCACTGGTCACAAAGGGAACCTGCTTTCAGAATCCAAAAGTAAAACTTTCCGTTCCAAGGTAAAACTACCATTGATATAGTACTGGATAAAGGATTACAAAGCACCAATATTTGCCTCAGCAACTACGTCTTAAGAAGAAAGTCTTTGAAAAATTTCAGCCTGGCTTCATCAGGATAGAATGTTCTGTAAAGAATTTACCAGTTTGTTTTGGCTAATCTCCCTTCCCTTATTTTGTGTGTTTACACTTTTGTCTGATAACCTTGAGGATAGGACCCATGCACAATTTTAACTGATATACCAAAGTAAATTCTGTGGAGCACTATATTTCTGAATTATGGTGTGTGTGTGTGTGTGTGTGTGTGTGTGTGTGTGTGTGTGTGTGTGAGAGAGAGAGAGAGAGAGAGAGAGAGAAGGAGGAGGAGGAGGAGGAGGAGGAGGAGGAGGAGGAGGAAGAGGAGAAATAACAGTAGGAGGTGGAGGAAACAATTTTTGCCTGAAAATGAAGGGAAAATAACAGAATGGGAGATAGATTAACTCCTTGTCTGTTCTGGAACTACTTTTGGTCTCATATTCAGAAACTTAATAAATATTCATTCCCACCAAGAGGGAAAAAATGCTTCTTTATTGCCAAACATTCCCCAGCACAGCGTGCTTTTCAAACTCTTTTTTTCCATTTTGGTCAGGGAGATTCAAGCAGCCTCAAAGTGTGCATTCTTCTTGTCCTAATGATGGTTTTCTAGAATTATTGAAATTGACATAAGCACATATAATTTAGATGCTTTCCAAAATGTCCTGGTAAATTTGAAACTTTTTCTCCCTCTCTAAATAAACAGAATGGCGGTTTGTGGCTGGGAAAGAAAAGCTAGCTCTCACGAAATAGCTGTGGATGAGGGGAAAAAAGTGAGCAAATTCTCCATTTGGGAGGTGGGGGTGACAGAGAGCAGATTTATCTTGAGGAAAAATCTAGATTAACCATGTTAAATAAAAGTTAAAAGTTTTGTATAGACTGGTAACTTTCAGAAACTCTTCAGCTATTTGTTTTTAGTTATAAGAACTAGAAACTTTAAGGAGAATAAATTATCTAAATCTATTTCCTCTTCAGTCTTTTACAGTATAAAAGACAAAACAAAAGAAACAAGAAGCAGCTAGGTAAATCTCTTTAAGGGACATCAAACCCGTTTTTTTTTTTAATCAGCAATCTGACAATGAGATTTACATAGCTGCTTCTCACTCCTTTCTTGTTCTCCTTTATAATCCTAGATGAAACTTTCCCACTTCTTTTCACTTCTGCATATTCTAATTTAAGTTCTTAAAACATCCCCACCTATTCTAAAATGTCGCCTATCACCTCCAACCCAACTCCTGGGAATTCCCCTTTTGTGTTCTTCCTAACCCCTAATTTTTCTGCTGAAAATGAGACTGATCTCTCTGTCATTGTGCAATTACAATAGCATTTAAAGCAATTTGAGGATAAAAATCATCCTCATTTTATACTCAAATTATATATCACAATTTAATAGAAACTTTGTCTTTGTGATAGTGGAGAATATCTGTAGCTCAGGTGTAGGATGAGGGTGGAGGTTTGTTTCCCAAGCTTGTAGGCTAGGTAACATCTTCAGCAGAATTTAGGGAATGTCAGTGTTGGTATTCTTCTCCATATAAGGGCTTCATGTGATCAGTAGGTCTTGTGATGGTGAGGTTAAGTCAGATCAGGATCATATCAGGTCAGGGTCTTGTGATGTGTCAGGTATGGGTTGTGTCAAGTGAAGGTCTTGTAATGGATCTTACGAGGGTCATTGGGAGATGAAGTGCTGGTGGGGGTCTGTATCGATTGGTTGAGGGTTGGTGCTGTCTCTGGTTGGCTGTACGGTTGATTTGGATTCTGAGGGGTTCGTAGGCTGGTTGTGGGTCAAGGTGTCTGTTGATGGAATTACTTGTGGAGTGCCAGGCTTCGATATACTTGCAAGTGTGGAGGTTGGAGGAGGATGCTTTGCTGTTCTGCCATTGGGAGGGGGAGCATGGCTGATGATTCTTATATTGCTCCAATAGAATTGGTGCTGTTTCATGTCAGTGTGGGAAGAGATTAGGGATTTGGGATCATGGCGTTTGTCTGTTGTGTTTATGGATGCACCAGAGCCATAGGTTCCTGAACAAGACAATGCCAAACATACATTGTGATGTAGGGACTCAAATGATGCCTTTTGTAGTTTGGTTTCAGATCTAATGGAGCACTGAAATGGTTTGGTTGCTTCCTCAGAAAGTGCTATTAACAGATTTATGTAGATCTTTTGACATTATTGATCATGGAGTATTAGTGGAGTAGCTCTGTGAGTGGGAAGTAAGCTACAGTGAAAGTGGAAAGTTACTACATCCTTACAGTGGTTGCACTATAGAGTCCTACAGTTCTAGTTTTGCTCCTATATAAAAGATGGTCATGCAGGTAGCTGATGTAATCAGTGTGCACGTGGTATACTTTCCCCTGAAACAGGTAGGGCTATCCAAGTGTTTCACAATTGCCTGAAGTGAACGAGGGCTAATAAAATGAAGCTGAATCTTCAGTACAGACTTTCTCCAGTTTAAGAACAAGATCCATCCCCAAGTCTTTTTGGAATTTGTATGTATGTCATATTTAAGAATGGACTATTACTAAAAATAATAGACAGTGTTCTCCTTCCTTGAACTGACAAATTATATATTAAAAATGGATGGCTTCAGCAGTTCATGAATGTGTGGCTTCGTGGTTCATCAACTTGAAGAATGCTGTCCACCATTTTTAGAAATAGGCGATCCATTCCCAAGTACAAGTTTGTTCATTAGATTTTTATCCTGTGTTTATTACTTTATAAATAATTCAAGGCAGTGAACACACATAATACTACTTCTTCCTGTTGTCTGTAAATTGGACATTTTTAATCTGGGTATTGTCCGAAACATATGGATGCTCTGGACAGACGATTCTTCGGCTTGATAATAAAGAAGGTAGCATAATCTGAATGAAATGTCATTCCTGCTAAAGCAAAGGTCTTCAAACGTGGCAACTTTAAGACTCGTGGAATTCAACTTTCAGAATTCCCCAGTCAGCCATGCTGGGAGTTGAAAGAAATTCTGGGAATTCAAGTCCACAAATCTTAAAGTTGCCAAGTTTGGAGACCCTGTGCTAAAGGAACATGCACATGGCCTGGGCCTAATAATCTCATAACTGAACTGCTGTCACATGGTCTACAGGAATGTTCTTTTTAAGACAGAGAAATTCCAGCTAATGCAGCATGCAACTACTCTATTGGTAAATGGGATATCCAGAGAAGACCATACAATACCTATCAGACCCTCATTTATTATAGAGGTTTTCTTTCTGTGTTCAAATCTGCCATTCTGCTGGGAGGTTGGAGGAGGATGCTTTGCTGTTCTACCATTGGGAGGGGGAGGCTGGTAGAGGTGTTAACGGAAGGAGTGTGCCCTGGGTCAAGGGGAAATCAAAACCGTGAGAATGGTGCCTGGGAACTACACTTATCACTCTGGTCCCCATAACAACTTCGTACCTGAGGATTGGATGAAATAAAACCGGACATTTGGCCTTTGGGGTGGGGTTTGTTAGGGATGCTTTAATATACATTTTGCATGGGAAAATGCTAGATCTTGCTTTGCTTTCTTGCTGTCATTGTCTCTCAATAAAAGTTCCTTTTTAGATGATACCTGTCTCAAGAGTTTTGCTTTCCTGGGAGGACTAGTTGAGGCAAGACTTTACAATACCAATATTTCAAATGCTTTCTGGAGCCAAAGTTATGGTGCTAACATTAGTTTGTAAAGCCTTAAAAATCAGGATTATTTAGTTAAGCATTATCAGTCAATCCCTGACTGTTCTTTGGAAGGATAAATACTGAAACTGAAGCTCAAATACTTTCGCCACCTAATGAGAAGAGAGGACTCACTGAAAAGACCCTGATATTGTGAAAGACTAAAGGTCAAAGGAGAAGGGATGGCAGAGGATGAGATGGTTAGATAGTGTCATCCAAGCAATGAATATGAATTTGGGTAAAGTCCAGGAGATACTGGAGGGCGGGAAGTCTGGCATGCTATGGTACATAGGGTCATGAAAAGTTGGACATGCTTAACTGAACAACAACAAAATTGTCTATGTGTTTGTGTGTGTGTGTGTGTGTGTGTGTGAGAGAGAGAGAGAGAGAGAGAGAGAGAGAGAGAGAGAGAGAGAGAGAGAGAGAGAGAGGGGAAGCAATCTTCACTAGGAAAGTTAATTCCAACAATAGGCCTGGCTTTGTATCAAGGGTGATCCTTTATTCTCTGATCACTTTTTTTTCCAGTTCCACCTACGCAAAAATTGAATTATTCCTCACAATAAGCAAACTGAGGTTGATCTAACCTTCATGGAACAAAATCAGATATGAAAAGCAGCAATGGGTGCCAGCCACCAAGGGAGAGGGAATTCAAAACAAGGAGCAGCCCTGGAACAAGACTATAAGTGCCAGTTGTCCTCAGCAAATATTCCACAGCTTTGTTTGCTAACCTTAATCTCCTGCAAATTAGGAAAGACTTTTCTATCTTTATCTCTGCAAATTACATAAATGACAGCTCTCCAAGGCAGTTATCTTACATCAAATTATGAAGCAAGACTGGTGTGTTTGTGGATGCTCAATTACAAAAGAGCTTTCCCATGATTTGGCAGTCGGTTCCCTAAGCAAAAGTGTCCAGGGTACATTTAATTGCCTCTTTGATAGATAAGCCTAGGAAAAGACAATAATTTGATGCTTAACCGAAAAGATTTCAATTTATAGTATTTTGTAGATCACTCCAGACTCCAACCCTGTCTTCTGAACTTTATCAGAATAGAGAAAACATCTGGAATGAGAAGACATTTGGAATTGAGAGGAAACTGTAGATCACGGGTGTTAAACTCGCTGTATCACATGACATGCCGTGATGTATCGTGACTTTTTTTGCATTGCTGGAGCTGGGGTGAGTGCAGCCTCCACAGGATGCAACCGGCCCGTGGGTCAGCAGTTTGACACTCATGCTGTAGATGAATGCTAGGTGATATATTAGTCTAAGTCCCCTCACCTGTATTTTATTTTTAATAAAAGCAGGCCAACTTATGAACGTGTGCAGAGGTATTTCTAATTAGTTTCTATATTTGATTCCAGACATTTCAATCAAAAAAAAAATGTCAAGAATTGAAACTGGGAACTTTTTTGTGCAACGTAGGTGCTCTATCACAACTCTATAATCTTTTATTTTGTAATGCCCAAATTTTAGGCTTACTGTAGTTCTGAGGGTTTCCAGTTCAAACAAGCACTGTTAAAAGGATTGTGGAAATATTTACCTTTGCCTAAAATAGTCCCTAGCAGTTAGAACAAACAATCCTGGGTTTACTTAATTGATCATTTGATTCTGTTTTGCTTATTATAAAAGGTTACAAAGATAATACTGGTTCCAATTAAATCCCATTTACTCAGGGGGACACAGGGGCTGTGAACTTACCTATGAAGCAGGCTTTTCATGTGATCACACAAGAATGCAGTGGGCAAATATGCTTCAGAGCAGTGTCCAACTTCCTTGGTTTTCACAGCTTCTGGATTTTTTTAGTTCACAAACTAAATCTTTGTGCTGCAGTGATGTCTGAAACAGGGTAACAGACTAAAATTAATAGTACTCATCCAGAAATTCATTTATTTGTACACTTGCTATTAAAACATCTAAAGCCTTACAAGAGACATAAAATTACACAGCAACACTCCCTCCAATTTCAATGAAACAATTTTAAAATGATACAATCTGACCATGGTTTGTATAAATATGTTTGATCTGATGCTAAAAAAAAAAGAATGTAGCTATAAGGGATTATTAGGTGGAATGCTAAAAGTATGGGATGAATGCAGAAAAAAATTCAGATTTATCACTACTTGTTTTGATATTAAACATTTAATTTTGTGAAGATATTTGGACAATGGAGAGTGTATTTATACAGACTTCAAGAATTATTAATAAAACAAAAATGAAGTCCTTTGAGATTCTTTCTCAAAATGGTAAGAGACAACTCACCAGTTTTAATATTGTGGGAAGCCAGCTCCTCACAGAAAAAGAAATATTTAAAAAACAGAATATATTTCTCTAAAGGATTTAAAGGCAGAACCCCCCCCCCCAAGCCTGTCTGTCGCAAACAGAAACCAAGTTTGCAGAATGCAGATGTGATAACCTTGTCAGACTAGAGTCAGGAAACTGGGATTAGGAAGTAAGATCCCTAGAATCAACACCAAAAATCTAAGAGTCATCAGCCACAGCCACAGGGAAGCAGGATATGACCCTTGGGACATAATAGGATTAACCCACCACCATCAGAATACCAGAAAGGCACACTCAGACTAAGGTCAAAGTTCATGCCACAGGAGCAACTCCAAACAAAAGGCTCAAGAAGATATTAAAAACCCACTCCCTACATGTGCTCACTCTCTCTTTTCTTCCAGAACCATCTTTCTGTCTGGCTCTCCTCTTCAATAAACTGCAACCTTCTTCCTAAAGCAGTTGCCATGTTGTTTATTCCCGGCTTGGACTGAACCATGATGAAGACTTTTCCTTCAACAATATGTATAAATACTCCCAAAGGAATTCCAAAATAAGGTTTGACCAATTTGAAAAACATATAATATGAAATTTATCGCACAAAACTCAGATCAACAAGTTGCTGTTGAACTATGGTTCAGAAAATGAACAAGTTTAGACTATATGATCAAACGGATGCAGAAGTTTAAAGAACAATTGATATACAACACTGGAAATACCATCTAGAACAGTGGTGGCGAACCTATGGTACGCATGCCAGAGGCAGTACTCAGAGCCCTCTCTGTGGGCACACGCGCCATGTCACAGAGATGGCAACCATCCCTCTTCAACCAGCTGCCTGCTAACTCGCCAAGGTCCCATGTGGTTGGATGCATCCCAGCACGGCTGGTTTCCCTCCCCCCTGCCCATCCCTCCTGGCCTCACATGCTCTCCTTTTCCCAGGCACAACCCACTGCATTGCCTCCTCAGCTGTCAGCCGGCCTTCCAGCTCAGAGGCGGCTTCTCTGAACTGTTGGTGATGGGCTGCAGAGCCCCAGAGTGCATCAGTTGAGGAGCCGGCAGGCTGTGGCTGCTGACGGACACTGTCAGCCCCCATGCGCTCGCTAGCCTCCGTGTGCGGGGGCCGATGATGTCAGGCAGCAGCTGCCCCGGCCCCTGCCTCGCCTTGCCCTGCAACAATGGTATCTCCATCCTGCCTTGCTTCACCCTGCAGGGCAAGCCTCCTGCCCACTGCCCCATCTGCCAGAGACCCCCTGGATCTCCCCCAACCCTGGCCTGCCCCTACAGCATCCCTCCCCATAAGCAACATCGAGGTGACCACGCCCACCTTGGCCACACCCACCCAGTCTGCCATGATCACCACAGCCACGCCCACCCAGTGGGCCACGCCTGGCACCCGGAGATAAATAAGTAGGTTTTGGGTTGCAGTTTGGGCACTTGGTCTCTAAAAGGCTCGCCATCATTGATCTAGAACCTTTATTATTAACATTACACTTATTTTCTAAAAAGAGCTCAAAATGCAATAGTCATGTTGGATCATTCTTTCACATTTGGTAACAGTGTTGTAAGGCAATTCCACAATTCTGGAAAAGAATTTATAATAGAATGAAATAGAAGTTAAAGATGGATGTTTCCTTTCAGTCTGCTATCTTTTTATAAATTAATATTAAACCTTATGTTCCTACAAAATATACTGAACTGAGTTTGTATTGTACTATATATGGGATCATATGCTAGAATAGGGCTTTTCAACCTTTTCACCCATTGTACCACTTTTAGGATATGGCAATATCCAAGTACCACCAGTCGCCTAGCAAGGTGTCAAAAACTCGACCAAAAAAAAAAAAAAGGAAAAAAGTGATAAAGTACAGGTAGTCCTCAACTTACAACAGTTTACTTAGTGACTGTTCGAAGTTACAATGGCACTGAAAAAAAGTGCCCTCCAAGCCACAACCAAGGAAGAGCCCAGCGGCGGTCTTCCTCCTGTCTGAAGTTTTCATTGTTGTGAGCATTTCTGTTGAGGATTGGCAGCGGGGGTGGGGTAGGGGGTGTTTGGCTTTTATTCCCCCCATCTGCTGGGTGGTTGCAGCAGGTTTTGGTCACTTCACATGACTCTGGGACACTGTGACCGTTATAAATATGAATCAGTTGCCAAGCATCTGAATGTAAATCACAAGACCTTGGAGATGCTGCAACATTCCAGCTGATTGGCGCTTCTTCTGGGCTCAGCAGAAGCACCAGGATTAGTGCCGAGCTCCAGCTGGAGCCTGGCGCTGATCCTGGTGCTTCCACTAAGCCCTGACAGTCCTGAAGAAGTGCTGATCCTGGCGCTTCCACTGAGCCCTGACAGCCCTGCAGCTCCAGCCGTCTCTCGCTCAGGCTTGTGCGGTGCTGCCACCGCTTCAGCTCATTCCTGTCCCCCGCTACCACTTTTCTAGGATGGTCACGTACCACCTGCCAGGTGCCAATGTACCACAGGTGATACCTATACCACTGGTTGAAAAGCCCTGTGCTAGAATACCCTTTCTTACTGAAAGCATGAATAGTTTCTCCTGTAGAAAAATGGCAAATTAAATTATGGAATTATGCCACCATGTCAAAGTGACTTTAGAAAACAAATTTGTTTTTGAATTTAACTGAGTTTCAGGGTTCCTTCTAACAGAAAAATATAACATCTAATCTATAAACATTAATTTTGGCGTTTGGTAAATTGTTAAATTTTTCCATACTGTAGAACGTATTGTTATGTTTCTTCTTTGAGTTCTAATTTATAACAGAAAACAACCCTCCACGATAGACACTTGGTGAGAGAACCGACACTGTGGCCAACACTTCAAATGCCATCCACCACCTACAAACAGCTGTCTTCTTCCAGGTGAATTATAATGGAAAGTATAGGTAATCCTCAACCATAACTGAGCCCAAAATTTCCATTGCTAAGTAAGACCGTTGTTAAATGAGTTTTGCCCAATTTTATGACCTTTCTTGCCACAGTTAAGTGAATCACAGCAGTTGCTAAGTTAGTAACATGGTCATCAAGTGAATCTGGCTTCCCCATTGACTCTGCTTGTCAAAAGATCATAAAAGTTGATCACATGACCCCAAGCCACTGCTATTGTTGTTAATATATGCAAGTTGCCAAGCCCCCAAATTTTGACCATGGGATTACAGAGATATTGCAATAGCTGTTTAAGTGTGAAAACTGACACAAGTCACTTTTTTCAATGCTGTTGTAACTATGAACGTTCACTAAACAAATGATTGTAAGTCAAGGATTACCTGTATATCACTATATAAACAACCATCCATTAGTAAGATTACTAACTGCATATTAGTGAATGCAGCGGTCCTTGTATTTTTAGTAGTGCAAAGGTTTCCATCATAAGCAGAAAAACTATCTTGCAGGAAATAACTCAATCTCCCCGAAATAAATAGAGCATAATGAAATTACATTAATAAAAAGGTATGGTGAGGTATGCAAATCACATTTTTCAATTTTATCATTATGATTCAATTTTTTTGACAGTAAATTATATCCAGACCCAATGAAATCATAATGTCTAGTTTTGTCTATAATCTTTTATATAATTTTTAATGTCTGGCATATAATCCTTTTTCAGGAATATATATCATTTTCACAACAGTCCAAGCTCCATATATCCAATGATTTTTATAAATTGAGAGATTCCAGATTTGATGGATATTATTTCATATAATCTAAATAAACTATGGCCAGATAAACCTTTGATTCCACTCAAATATTTTAGATTGATACTTTGATTATTTATGAAGGCACCAGTACCAAGGATATCCCTGTTAAAATTATCTCTCTCTTATGGTGATCCATAACGTCTGGCTTTGCCCAATCATCGTGACATGGTTTATTCCTTTTTTTACTTAAATGTGTTATATGTGCCCATCTCTTCTCTTTATTTACTTCTTTTGCTCATGAAAATGGGGCTTTCCCTCAGTAGGTTGGCTTCCTTCCTCCCTGAGCTACCTTTTTTTAATCCAGTTTGAGAAGGCAGACAACCACACAGATACAAACAATACTTCTTCCCAACCCCTTAAAGCAGCTGCGTCTTTGCCCCACATTGTGTGGTTAACTCTTTAAAGCAATGTTCCCCAACCTTAGCCATTTTAAGTTATATGGATTTCAAATCCCAGAATACGACAGCTAGCAATGCTGGCTAGAATATTCTGGGAATTGAAATCCACACATCTACTTTAAAGAGAATACCGCTACTTTAAAGAGAGGCAGGCAGGTATTACACATGGGTCCCTGGTTGCTCCAAATAACTGTCTTCCTTCCTATTGCTCAATGTTCTGGGTTATCATGATAGTGAACCATAGAATGATCACGTCGGTTGAATGCACACAACGTACAAGGGCGAAATGTAGTCAGCCAGCTTGTGGCTGAGTTTTTTCACGCAAATCCAGTCATGTACAGAAAAATGACACAATCGATGATGCTCTGCTGGCGGCTCGCAGCACCTTGGAACTTACTTCCTTGCTTGTTTTCTCCAAAGAAAAAAAATGTGGATAAACAAGCAGTTAAT